AAGAAATCCAGCAGGGCGAGTCGAGGAATCCAGGGAGCAAAGTAGCAAGGCAATTAATCCCAAAATCCAGCAAGAATGCCAGGAATCCAGGAAAGGTCAAACGTCGGAAATCGACACTCCAGGAATTCAGCGTTTGTTCCTGACAAATGCCCCTCCCCATAGCGTCAGTCCCCAGGTGTGCCTTGTGACTCAGTCCCCAGGTGTGCCTTGTGACTCAGTCCCCAGGTGTGCCTTGTGACTCAGTCCCCAGGTGTGCCTTGTGAAGAGGGACAGGGCGCTCTCCTCCCGAGTAGCCTGCTCAATCTGCGCTGTTCTCGCCTTCTCTCCGCTCTCCGCGCTCGGGGATCAGGAGGGGGCCGCAACAGGCGTTAAGCGTGAAAAACAGCCCGAAGTCGCTTTTTCCAGTGGCGTTGTAACTTCGGTCACTAAACGAACGGTTGTAAGTCGAGGAGTATCTGTAATCTGGCTGAAGGCGCTGAATTTCTCGACTCGGTGTAAGAATCCAAGCGGATCTTAACTCCTGACCCTGCAGGACACGTTCGACATTCACACATGCATTAAATACCCTGGTTTGAGCAGAGAAAACAAGCAGGGTGGAGCGGATGGCAGACCTGGGGAGGGGACTTACAGGTCAGGAAGCCACTGGTGGGGGGAAGAGGATACAGGTAGTCCTCAACTTATGACCGCAATGGAGCCCCAAAATTTATGTTGCTAAGTGAGACATTTGTTAAAGTGGGTCTCCTCCTTAGAAAATAAATCTTTCTTTCACTCTTTTTCTTTCTTTTCTTCTCTTTCTTCCTTCTTTTTCTTCTTTCTTTCACACTTTCTTCCTTCTCTTTCCTTCCTTCCTTTTCTTTTTCTTCTTTCTTTCTTTCCTTTCCTTTCTTTCTTTTTTTCCTTTCTTCCTTACTTTCCTCCCTCTCGCCCTTTCTTCCCTCCTTTTTCTTTTCTTTCTGTATCTTCTCTTTCTCTCTTTCCTTTTCTTTTTCTTTCTTCCTTCTTTCCTTTTCTTTTTCTTCCTTCTCTTTCCTTTTCTTCCTTCCTTCCTTCTTTCTTTCCTTTCCTTTATTTATTTCTCTTTTTCCCTTACTTCCTTTTCTTCCTTACTTCCTCTCGCCCTTTCTTCCTTCCTTTTTTTCTTTCTGTTTCTTCTTTCTTTCCTTCTCTTTTTCTTTCTTCCTTCCTTCTCTTTCCTTTCTTTTCTTTTTCTTCCTTCCTTTTCCTTTCTTCCTTCCTTCTCTTTCTTTCATTTATTTCTTTTCTTTTTTCCTTACTTCCTTTTCTTCCTTACTTCCCTCCCTCTTGCCCTTTCTTCCTTTCTTTGTTTCTTCTTTCTTTTCCTTCGTTTTCTTCCTTCTTTCCTTTCTTTTCCTTCCTTCCTTCCCTTCCTTCCTTCTTTCTTCCTTTTCTTTCTTTCCTTCCTTCCTTCTCTTTCTCTTCCTTCCCTCCCTTTCTTTCTTTCTTTCTTTCTTTCTCTCTCTCTCTCTCTCTTTCTTTCTTTCTTTCTTTCTCTCTTTCTTTCCTTCCAGCTGAAGATCTGGTGCCAGATTCCGAAAGTGAAAGAAGCACCTCCCCTTTTCAGGTGAGGAAGCAGCTGAGGGATGATGGGATAGTGGGTGGGATAAAGACCAAGCTTTGGTAGATGGGGATGAATAGAGGGAGTGGGGGGAGGGGGGCTTGGCTTCCATACTGAAGGCCTGGACTCGGTGGCATTAAAGCCACTGTAACCCCTAGAATGTGGGCCCCTCGGGGCTCTCTGAGCTTGGTTGCTTTTGGGAAGACGTTCCGTGACCCAACTAGGTAACATCATCAGTGCTAGAAAGGAGAGTGGGGTTTGTGGAGGGGAGGAGGAGAAGGGGAAGAGAAGAAGGACCGTGGGGCTCTCTGAATTTAGCTGTGTTCCTGTAGACGTTTCATAACCCAACTAGGCAACGCCATCAGTGCTGGAAGGGAGTGGGCTGTGCAGAGTGGAGAAGGGAAGAGTGGGGAGAAAGGAAAAAGGAACTGAGATCCTTGGTGTTCTCTGCGCCTGGTTCTTTTCTTACAGACCTTTCACGACCCAACTAGGTAACATCATCAGTGCTAGGAGGAGGAAGGGCATTTCGCTCTCTATTTACATACTTATGGGCTCCTTAGACTCCCGCCTCCTTCCCTCTACCTCCTCCTTCCCAGATCCTAGTTAGGCAGTTGCTTAAAAGGAGGGAAGATACTCAAGTGTTCCTCCATTTTCCCCCCCACACCAGGGTGAATACTGGGGTACCCATCTCTGCACCCTCATCCCCACTTTTCAGGAGCACCTCAGGGACAGCAGCAGCCAGTGAGTGAAGTCCACACCCCTTTAAAAGTTGCTAAACTCGAAAAAAACAAACTGTACCCCAACACAGAGAAAGGGAGGGGGACAGCCCAAAATCTGGCCCGGCCCATCACCTTTTCTGCAGCAGCCCAGGGGTCTCCAACCTTGGCAACTTCTAAGACTTGTGGACTTCAACTCCCAGAGTTCCCCAGCGAGTCGTATCGGGTAACTTTCTTCATAGATGGTGGCAATGCAGTAGATGTAATATATCTTGACTTCAGCAAAGGGGGTGGGGGGAACTGGCTGAGGAATTCTGGGAGTTGAAGTCCACAAATCATAAATCAGGGCTCTTCAACCTTGGCAACTTTAAGACTTGTGGACACAACCCAGAGTTCCTCAGTCAACCATGTAAGGTAACTTTCTTCATAGATGGTGGGAATGCAGATGTAATATATCTTTACTTCAGCAAAGTGAAACAAAGGAGCTAGCTGGGGAATTCTGGGAGTTGAAGTCCACAAATCTTAAATCGGGGGTCAAATTTGGCAACTTTAAGACTTGTGGACTTCAACTCCCAGAGTTCCCCAGCCAGTCATATCGGGTAACTTTCTTCATATATGGTGGGAATGCAGTAGATGTAATATATCTTGACTTCAACAAGGGGGGGGGTGGAACTGGCTGAGGAATTCTGGGAGTTGAAGTCCACAAATCTTAAATCAGAGCTCTTCAACCTTGGCAACTTGTAAAATGTGGACTTCAACTCCCAGAGTTCCTCAGTCAGCCACGTAGGGTAACTTTCTTCATAGATGGTGGGAATGCAGTAAGCATACTATATCTTGACTTCAGCAAAGTGAAAAAAAAGAGCTGGCTGGGGAATTCTGGGAGTTGAAGTCCACAAATCTTAAATCAGGGCTCTTCAACCTTGGCAACTTTAAGACTTGTGGACTTCAACTCCCAGAGTTCCTCAGCCAGTCATATGGGGTAACTTTCTTCATAGATGGTGGGAATGCAGTAAGCATAATATACCTTGACTTCAGCGAAGGGGGGGGAGAAAAACTGGCTGAGGAATTCTGGGAGTTGAAGTCCACATTTTACAAGTTGCCAAGATTGAAGACCCCCCACCCTGACCCAGACAATTTTCCTTTGGCTAGGCCGGTCCTCGGCCTCCGCCACGTTTCCCCAATGTGAGTGAGGGGAATCGACAGGTACTCCTCGACTTCCGACCACAGTTTGAGCTCAACATTCCCTTCGCTAAGCGAGACGCTGACCTCTGCCCGGTTTAGTGACCTTTTCTTGCCCTCGGCGGCTAAGTGAATCTCTGCAGTTGTTGAATGAGTCACCTGATTGTTTGGTGAATCTGGCTTCCCCATTGATTTTGCTCGTCGGAAAGTCGCAAAAGGGGATTGTGTGATTCCGGGGCCGTAAATATGAGTCGGTTGCCAAGCATCTGAATTTGGATCACATGACCATGGAGATGCTGGGACCGTCGTACGTGTGAACGAACTATCCTAAGTCACTTTTTTTCAGTGCCGTCGCTAATTTGGGATGATCACTAAATGAACTAAGTCGAGGACTACCTGTATTTAAGTCGAAGGCCACCACACCTGTCCCAACCACGGGGAACACTGATGGGGAGCTAAAAATTTACCTGCCGTCGTTTCCGGGCGCTCCTGAAGCTGAGGAGGGGATCCCCAGTTCAGCGCCTATCAAAACGAAGGGCGCCTGGGAAGATTAGTTTTGGGGACGAGGCTAGGCCCAGTGGGGTTGGGAAAAGGCCGTGGGCCGTGCCCGAATCGTTTTAAACATTCGGCTTTTTTTTAAATTTCCTTCAAGGTTGAATAGTTCTCTGTTGTGCTTGACATCTCCGGCGATGTCATGGTCGCCCCCTCCAGCAAAAGACTTCCTGAAGTCCGGAACTTTGCCGACGGTTTTAGAACTTTATTCAGAAAACACGAGGAAAGCTTTGCGGCTCAGTTCATCTGGCCGACGGAAGAGGAATTGGGCAATTGGGAGCCCGCCCCGTCTCGGGCCAAGACGATGGTCGAGCGGCCGACGGTTTTCTTGACTTGGTCTCGGGGACGGCTCACGACGGGACTGCGAGCCTCCGAGGCTCCTTTTCAGAACTGGAATGTTTGAAAGCACCAGAAAAAAATAAAGACTTTGCACATAGCTTTCTCGGCGGGGTCCTTGGGGGGGGCTCTCTGAGCCGGGGAGCTTGCTTGCGGACGTTTTGTGACCCAACAAGGGAACATCATCAGTGCTACAAGGGAGTGGGCTTTGCAGAGGGAAGGACGACGGTGGAGGTTCCTGGGTGCTCTCTTAAGTTTGGGGTTTTTTTTTTCTTGCAGACGTTTCATGACCCAACTAGGGAATGCCATCAGTGATATAAGCAGGGGTGGTATTCAGCCGGTTCGGGCGAATCTGTTGCTAATTTTACATCGGGTTCGCCAAACCAATCATTGCAAGAACTAGCTGGCCCCACCTGCTCCTCCCCTCCCAGGAGTCTCCACGCAGCCCCTTCTGAATGCCAGGTAAATACAGGGCCACGTGGAGTCTCTGGGAGGGTGAAAAACGCCGCCCCTTCCCCCCGGAAGTCTGAAAACTGGCCCGTTTCCGGCCTCCGGAGGCCAGGGGAAGCCATTTTTGCCCTCCTGGAGGCTCAAACAAAGCCCCCGGAGCCTGGGGAGGACGAAATGACCTTTCTCTTCCCCCCCCCCCCCCCCGGTCATGGTGCAGGAGGCTGAGTAGGCCACGCCCACCATGGCCACGCCCACTTAGCAACCAGGCAGAGAACCGGTTGCTAACATTTTTGAATCCCACCCCTGGCTAGGAGAGACGGGGGTTTGTGGAGAGGATAACGACTGTGAGGTCCTTGGTGCTCTTAGCTTGGCGATTTGCTTGCCGACGTTTCATGACTCAACTAGGGAATGTCATCAGAGCTAAAGGGAGTGTGGTTTGTGGAGGGGGAGAGGGAGGGGGACTGGGGGGTCCTTGGTGCTCTCTGAGCTAGGTTGCTTTCTTGCAGACGTTTCATGACCTAACTAGGTAACATCATCAGTGTTAGGGAGTGAGGTTTAGAGAGAGGAGGACTGTGGGGGTCCTTGGCGCGCTGAGCTTGGTTGTTTTCTTGCAGACGTTTCACGACCCAACTAGGGAACGCCGTCAGTGCTATTGGCAAGGAATGCCTTCCACGGAATGGAAAAGTGGGAGAAAGTGAGGTGGGGAAGGGAGCAGGGCCAGCTGTCTCAAGGCTGATCCTCCCCCCCAAAGATGGGGTTGACCTGCTGGGTGACGCGGATGAACGTGGTCCTGCGGCTGAGCTCCTTCAGCTTGGCCGCGCCCACGTAGGTGCAGGTGGAGCGGATGCCGCCCAGGATGTCCCTCAAGGTGTGCTCCACGTCCCCTTTGAAGGGCACTTCCACCACCTTGCCTTCCGATGCCCTGCAGGGGAGAGAGAGGGCGTTGCAGGAAGGTCCTCCGCCGGCAGAGTCCTCCAAGCTCCCTTCCAGCCCCGTGAACTCTATGATTGGCTAGCTCTTTTTACATCTCTTAGGGCAAAACTCGGCCCCTTGAAGGTTTGTGGACTTCAACTCCCAGAATCCCCCAGCCAGCATGGTGAAATTTCCTCCGTTCATCCTTTCCGATTTATATTTTTCTATTATAATAGAAAAAAAATTCTTTTTTTTCTAAACTTTGTTTTCTTAGGGCCGGGTGGAATGATTTCTCCCAATTTTTATTTTATTGATTTATTGTTGTAAACTTTGCAAGGAAAGAAAGAAGAGGGGCGTTGTAGGAAGGTCCTTCACTGGTAGACCTCCAAGGTCCCTTCCAGCCCCGTGAACTCTATGGTAGGCTAGCTCTTTTACATCTCTTAGGGCAAAACTTGAATAAAGAAACTTTGTTTTCTTAGGGCCGTGTGGAATGATTTTTCCCAATTGATTTATTTTATTTTTTGCAAACTTTGAAAGGAAAGGAAGAGGAGCGTTGGCAGGAAGGTCGTCGGTTGTCAGACCTCCAAGGACCCTTCCAGCCCCGTGACTCTATGATCTGCAAACTCGGCCATTTTTAAGACCTGCGGACTTCAACTCCCAGAAATGGCTGGCTGGGGAATTCTGGGAGTTGAAGTCCATACTTCTCCAAGGTGCCACGATTAGAGACAACTGTTCTAGACTACCAATGGGGGACCAGGATGAAACTTCCTTTCTCTTTTCTGATTTCTATTCTTCTATTAATAGAAAGAAAAAAAACCTTTATTTTTCTCAAAACTTTTCTTAGGGCTGTGTAGAATTATTCCCCACCCCCCGAGTTTTAGATCTATTTTTTTTTACAAACTTTGAAAAGAAAGAAAGGCATTGCAGGAAGGTCCTCCACTGGCAGACCTCCAAGGTCCCTTCCAGCCCTATGACTCTATGATCAGCTAGCTGTTTTATATACAGTCGTGGCCAAAATTGTGGAAACCCTTTTGGGAAAAGTGTATTTTTGAGGTTTGATAGCTAATAACACCATTTTTTGTGTGTGTGGGGGGGGGGAGTTTCAAGATAATCCTATTCCATTGCTGGAATGGCCTGGGATTAGTCCAGACCTGAACCCAATGGAAAATCGAGGGAGCCCACGAAAGAAACTGGTTAGTCAGAAGCGACCCGGCAATAAAACCCAGTTAATAGAAGCCATCATTGGATCTTGGTTTCACATGATAACGGCTGCAGAACTAAAAGACTAGATTCACTCCATGGGAAGACGTCGTTAAGGCTGTCATTCATGCTTGTTGTGGCTCCGTTACCTAAGCCTGTGTCATCGGCAGGAGAGGACTCCGAGAGTGAAGGAGAGGAGTTGGTAAGGCCTCCCTCTCCAGGACCCTCCTCTCTGGCAATGCCTTCAGTGTCCGCCAAAGGGCAAGAGATAGGGCCGGGGCCAAGCACGTCCACGCAGCCACAGATGGACAGTGATGAGGGTAATGAGTCTTGGCTGGATCCACGCCAGCGTCGCAGAGATAAGTGCGCGCAACAGAAGAAAAGGCGTGCCCGAGATTAGGCTGAGTCACTGGACCACACCCCACAAGGTATAAAAGGGAGCGTGGTGGCCAGTCAAACCTTGTGACGAACAAAGCTGAAAGCTTCCACGCCATTCTGCATTGCCGGACTTTTGGCTATAGACTTTGCTGGATTATCTCTGGACTTGATTGACTCCGTAATTATTGAGCTGTTTCTTTTGATGTATCAGAAGTGGGGAGAAGTTATCTCTCCTCTTCGTAAATAATAAACTCTTGGCAGGCAGCCACTAGGTTGTTGCCAAGTTCCGTTATCATAAGGAAAAGGATTTTGCCTCATTTGGTCTTTAACTCTTGAACGTCTGTTGGTGTGTGTGCGTGTGGTTGGGGACAGAACAATGCTAAAGGTTACCCAACGAAGTATTAACTGACATGGGGATCATTTTTGTATATCTCGTTTTTTCTACCTTTCACTTTTCTTCTCGATACTGTAACTGCTATTCTAATAGCAAATCCTTTATCAAAGTTACTGCATTACATTCTTCATTAAATTATCTTCCCATTGATATATAATTTTATGGTACAACTCAAAAAAAAAAGGGCGGTGTTATGAGCCAGTTTTAGAAAATACACTTTTCCCAAAAGGTTTCCACAATTTTGACCAGTACTTTATACCCTAGGGGTAATATATATAACCCTATACTCCTCCTATGAGATCTGCAAGAAGCGGGGATCCTTCCCAGCTGCAAATCCACCATGGAGGAATGGGGAATTTAACGGCGCTGCCATCCCACTGGCTGTGATCGAGTTCCCTTACCGATATTCGGCCACTCCTCCGGCGTATTTCTTCATGGACACCTCGGAGCTCATGCCGTAAAACAGCTTGTATTTCTTCCCTTCTTTTTCAATCAGATCCCCGCCGGATTCGGTGTGTCCGGCCAACATGCCTCCCACCATCACAAAGTCTGCACCAGCGCCTACGGGACAAAAATTCGAATTATACGAGCAAAACCAGCAGCTCTCCTGGAAAGAAAGAAAGAAAGAAAGAAAGAAAGGAAGGAAGGAAGGAAGGAAGGAAGGAAGGAAGGAAGGAAGGAAGGAAGGAAGGAAGGAAGGAAGGAGATAGATATGATGATCATAGAGATATGATAGATGATAGATATAGATAGATAGAGATGATAGAGATAGATATAGAGATTAGAGATAGATGATGATAAGAGATAGAGATAGAGATATAGAGATTGATGATAGAGATAGAGATAGATAGAGATAGATGATGAGAGATAGAGATAGAGATATAGATAGATGATGATAGATGATAGAGATAGATAGATAGAGATATTTATTTATTTTTATTTTTATACCGCCCTTCTCCCGCGGGACTCAGGACGGTGCAACATAGTATATAAAATTTAAAAACAATTTAAAAAACAATTAAATAATTTTGGCCCAAATAATTTAAAACAACCCAATTAAAACCGAATTCAATTAAAAACTGAGAGGATGGGATCAAGCCAGCCCGGCTAGATGGAATAAGTGTGTTTTCAGGGCCCGACGAAAAGTCCGGAGGTCTGATATCGTGCGTATCTCAGGGGGTAGGTCATTCCAGAGGGCGGGTGCCGCCACAGAGAAGGCTCTCCCCCTGGGGGTCACCAGCCGGCACTGTCTGGCTGACGGCACCCTGAGGAGGCCCTCCCTGTGCGAGCGAACCGGTCGGTGGGAGGCTATTGGCGGCAGAAGGCGGTCTCGTAAATACCCAGGTCCTAAGCCATGGAGCGCTTTAAAGATGGTCACCAACACCTTGAAGCGCACTCGGAAGACCACAGGAAGCCAGTGCAGCTCGCGCAGGAGAGGTGTTATATGTGAGCGCCCCGTCGCTCCCATAATCCCCCGCGCGGCCGCATTCTGGACTAACTGCAGCCTCTGGGTGCACCCCAAGGGGAGCCCCATGTAGAGAGCGTTGCAGTAGTCCAGGCGGGAAGTGACGAGTGCTTGAGTGACCGTGCGTAGGGAGTCCCGATCCAGAAAGGGATGCAACTGGCGTATCAGGCGAACCTGATAAAAAGCCCCCCTGGCCACGGCCGTCATGTGCTCTTCTAAAGACAGCCGTGCGTCCAGGAGGACGCCTAAATTGCGCGCCCTCTCCGTGGGGGCCAATGATCATCATATAGATGATGATATAGAGATAGAGATACATGATGATAGAGATAGATAGATAGATAGATAGATAGATAGATAGATAGACAGACAGACAGACAGACAGACAGACAGACAGACAGATAGATAGATAGATAGATAGATAGATAGATAGATAAATAGATAAATAAATAGATATAGATGGATATAATTTAGTTTACTCTATTGTCATTACACCTAGTACAATAAAATTAAATGCTATCTTCAGTGTACATTATAATTATAAAAATAAAACGAACACACATCCTTCCCATTCTATACAATTGAACTGGAAATTAGATAGATATATAGATATAGGTATAGATATAGATATTCCTTGACTCTCAACAGTTAATTTAGTGACCGTTTGAAGTTCAACGGCGCTGAACAAAATGACCCTTTTTCACACTTACAACTGTTGTGGCGTTCCCCACAATCACGTGATCAAAATTCAGAGCCTTGGCAAGCACTTCATACTTACGACGGTTGCAGTGTTTTGCGACCTTCTGACCAAAGCGAAGTCCACGGGCAAGCCAGATTCACTTAACAACTGTGCAATGATTCACTTAACGACTGTGGCATGGAAAATGGTAAAACGAAGCAAAACTCACTTAAATGTCTCGCTTAGCGACAGAAACGTTGGGCTCAATTGCGGTCGTAAGTCGAGGACGACTTGTATATCCCCCATAATCCATTTTAAAGAATCAGGAGGGGGGAAAAACCCACAAGGACGTAATTTTAATGGAGAGAGTGAGTGTGTGTGATTATATATAGTGTGACTAAATTTAACAACTACAGCAGCTCACTTAACAACCGTGGCAAGAAAGGTCGTAAAAGGAGGCAAACCTCACTTAAATGTTTGGGTTAGCGACAGAAACTTTTGGACTCAATTATGGCCGTTAGTCGAAGACAACCTGAACAGGCAGTCCTCAAACCATCCGTTCGGGGATCAACATTACAATCGCATCTGGAAAAAAAAGTGGCTCCTCGCACTTACGACCGTCGTCGGAACATCTCTACCCTCACGTGATCCGATTTCGGACGGTTTGGCCCTTGGCATGGATTTACGACGGTTGTAGCATCCAGCAGGGGGACGCGATTGACACCTACGACTTTCCCCCCAGCAGGCTTCCGGACAAGCCACTCCAATGGGATCAGCCAGATTCGTTTAACGACCGCATGACTCACTTAACAACCTGCGGCGGTTTGCTTAACAACCGCGGCAGAAAAAAAAATCATAAAATTGGGGACGTCCCATTGGCCTGGCTGAACCGCTGAAATTCGGGCCTCAGTTGCAGTCGTAAATCGAGGACTGTGTCGTCCCAGCCTCTCCTAACTGGCCGAATTTGGAAAAATTTGGGATTTTACCGAAAGCTTTGGCCACGTCCCCTGGGCAATGGCAGCCTCCGTCCTGTAAGAAAGAAAGTTAACCTCAGCCTTTCCATGTTTTCTTTAAATCCCCCCCACCGCCCCGTCCTAAAATAGACGCAAATTCAGTTCGTGCAAAGGCTGGCGACCAAACCAAACGGGCAGAGCAAGATTCTAGTCCTCAAGGGTCATATCATAAAAGAGGAGGATCAGAAAAGCAAATTATTGGGCTGAACTTCTCAAGCTTTGGTAGCTGCTAACGGATAATTCTGAGAATTAATACTGTTTGCCCGGATCGATGTGGAATTCTTAAACCGGCTTGTGGTATGACGACTGAGGAGGAAATCCTGAAAATTGGGTCAAAATGGCCCAAAAAACCCAATTTCACTCTAATATTAACACATTCTTTGCTTCATGCAACATTTTTATTCGATAAAAGTTTACTAAAGCCGCTGGTTACTTCTCCCCTTCCAGAAACACCACAGGCCTTCAACCTTGGCCATTGGAAGACCTGCGGACTTCAACTCCCAGAATTCCCCAGCCAGCCAGCCATGGCTGGCTGGGGAATTCTGGGAGTTGAAGTCCGCAGGTCTTCCAGTGGTCAGGATTCGACACCGGGGATGGGCCGCTGGGGATTCGCAGGGATTCGGGAGAACCTCTAGCTAAGATTCTGTGCCGTTCGGAGAACCCCCAATTCTTGGCTGGCCCCGCCCACCCAATCCCGCCCCTCCCGGGAGTCCCCACGTCGCCCATTTTGGATGCAGGTAACTGCAGGGCGCGTGTGGAGGCTCGGAGAGGCCTACCAGTAGTTCGGGAAGGCCGGAAACAGGCCCGTTTCCGACCTCCAAAGGGCCTCCGGAGCCTGGGGAGGCCGTTTTCGCCCTCCCGGAAGCACGAGAAAAGCCTCCGGAGCCCGGGGAGGGCAAAAATGTCCCGCCCACCCCCTCCCGTCGTGGTGCAGGAGGCCGACTAGGCCACGGCCACCCAGCAACCGGGCAGAGAACCCCTGGCTAAAATTTTGGGAGCCCACCCCGATTTCTCACCGAGATGATGTGTCCTCCGAGGCCGTGGGCCGCGTCCGCGCACTCCATGACGGCGCTGAGTTGAGGGTAACCCACCCCGGTTTTCTTCCGGGTGGTACAAACGGAGCCTGAAACAAGCCAGGATTAAGCCAGCCGGATCCCTAAACAAGAATCTTAACTCTTCGGGGGGGGGGGGGGGCAAACCTAGATTGAAATGTTCGGCCCAACTGCAAAGCTGAAGGATGAATCTACGGGGGGACGACTCCACCCAACATCACCTGGTCCGATCCCCACTTTGATGATGTCGGCTCCCGACAGGATGAGCTCCTCCACCATTTCGCCCGTCACGACGTTCCCGGCCTGCGGAGGCAAAAGAGAGGGGCAGGAAATGGGTGAGACCCACATGAAAGCAAACTGGGTGACTCTGGGCCCATCACCAGGAGACTGGGAGTTCTAGTTCTGCCTTAGGCATGAAAGCCAGCTGGGTGACTTTGGGCCAATCACCAGGAGACTGGGAGTTCTAGTTCTGCCTTAGGCATGAAAGTCAGCTGGGTGACTTTGGGCCAGTATACCAGGAGATTGTGAGTTCTAGTCCTGCTTTAGGCAAGAAAGACAGCTGGGTGACTTTGGGCCAATCACCAGGAGATTGGGAGTTCTAGTCCCACTTTAGGCATGAAAGCCAGCTGGATGACTTTGGACCAATCACCAGTAGATTGTGAATTCTAATCCTGCCCTAGGCATGAAAGCTGGCTGGGTGATTTTGGATTAAACACCAGGCAATGGTGAGTTCTAGTCCCGCTTTAGGCATGAAAGTCAGCTGGGTGACTTTGGGCCAAACACCAGGAGACTGGGAGTTCTAGTCCTGCTTTAGGAATGAAAGCTGGCTGGAAGACTTTGGGCCAATCACCAGGAGAGGGTAAATTCTAATCCGTCCTTGGCCATGACTTTGGGCTAATTACCAGGAAGCTGTGAGTTCTAGTCCTGCCTCAGGCATGAAAGCCAACTGGGTGACTTTTAGCCAATGACGAGGGGACAGTGAGTTCTAGTCCTCCCTTAGCTGTGAAAGCCAACTGGGTGACTTTTGGCCAATGACCAGGAGACTGGGCGTTCTAGTCCCGCCTTAGGCATGAAAGCCAGCTGGGTGACTTTGGGCCAATGACCAGGAGACAGTGAGTTCTAGTCCCGCCTTAGGCATGAAAGCCAGCTGGGTGACTTTGGGCCTATCACCAGGAGATTGTGAGTTCAAGTCCCGCCTTAGGCATGAAAGCCAGCTGGGTGACTTTCGACCAATCACCAGGAGATTGTGAGTTCAAGTCCTGCTTTAGGCATGAAAGCATAAGTGACTTTGAACCAATCCCTGTCAGCCCAGCCCACCTCACAGGATTGTTGTTCTAGGGAAAAGAGGAGAAGGAAAAAGCACATTGGAGATATCTTATTTGCAAAAATAATAAAAGACAGGACCCACACACAGAAGTAAAACAAATAGCCCACTCGGGAGCCAAATCGGACCGCGCAGCCAAATCGGAAACGTGGAAATCTTAAAAAATATTATTATTTTTTGTAAAAAAAAAAAAAATCTTAAAATCTTTCCCCGCTGGCCTCCTCAAGCGGAAGAAGCGGGACGTCCACGTACCATGATGGTGTGATCGGGGAAGCGCTTCCGCAAATCCCTCAGGAACTGGACGAAATGCTCCGAGTAACCGTTGGCCACGTCCAGGCAGATATAGCGGATCTGGGGCACGGCCTCCAGGATTTGCTCCAAGTGGTTCAAGTCGGACGTCCCCGTGCTGGCAGCCACGTTCTAAGGACAGGCAGCGAGGAAGAGAATTCACAATCACACACACACACACACACACCGAGGCTGAGAAAAACGACGTTTCGAATGATTCAACGACAACAGAGTGAGCTGAAAAGTCACACAAAGCCGTTAACCTCAGGTTAACGGAATAACAAAGGTGGAAGGGACCTTGGAGGCCTCTAGTCCAACCCCCTGCTCAAGCAGGCGACCCAATACCCTTTCAGACAAAGGGCTGTCCAATCTAGAGGAGGAGGAGGAGGAGGAGGAGGAGGAGGAGGAGGAGGAGGAGGAGGAGGAGGAGAAAAAAAAGAAGAAGAAAGAAGAAGAAAGAAGAAAAGAGAAAAAAGAAGAAGAAAGAAGAAGAAGAAGAAGAAGAAGAAGAAGAAGAAGAAGAAGAAGAAGAAGAAGAAGAAGAAGAAGAAGAGAAGAAGAAGAAGAAGAAGAAGAAGAAGAAGAAGAAAGGAGAAAGAAGAAAGGAGAAAAAGAAAGGTAAGGGAGGGAGGAGAGGGAGGGAGGAAGAAAGGGAGGGAGAGAGAAAAAGAATGAAAGAAAGAAAGAGAAAGAAAGAAAAGGAAGGAAGGAAAAGAATGAAAGAAAGAAAGGAAGAAAGGGAAAGAAGAAAGGGAAGGAAGAAAAAGAAAGAAAGAAAAGGAAGGAAGGAAAGAATGAAAGAAAGAAAGGGAAGGAAGGAAGGAAGAGGAAAGGAAGGAAGGGAAGGAAGAAAGAAACAGGGAAGGAAGGAAGGAAGGAAGGAAGGAAAGAAAGAAAGGGAAAGAAGGAAGAGGGAAGGAAGGGAAGGAAGAAAGAAACAGGGAAGGAAGGAAGGAAAGAAAGAAGGGAAGGAAGGAAGGAAAGAAGGAAAGGGAAGGAAGGAAGGAAGAAATGGAAGGAAGGAAAGAATGAAAGAAAGGGAAGGAAGGAAGGAAGAAAGGAAAAAGAAAGGAAGGAAAGAAAGAAAGAAGGAAAGGAAAGGAAAGAAGAAGGAAGGAAGGAAGAGAAGGAAGGAAGGAAGGAAGGAAGGAAGGAAGGAAGGAAGGAAGAAAGAAACAGGGAAGGAAGGAAGGAAAGAAAGAAAGGGAAGGAAGGAAGGAAAGAAGGAAAGGGAAGGAAGGAAGGAAGAAATGGAAGGAAGGAAAGAATGAAAGAAAGGGAAGGAAGGAAGGAAGAAAGGAAAAAGAAAGGAAGGGAAGAAAGAAAGAAGGAAAGGAAAGGAAAGAAGAAGGAAGGAAGAGAAGGAAGGAAGGAAGGAAGGAAGGAAGGAAGGAAAGGAAGGAAGGAAGGAAGGAACAAAATATGAGCCCATTTCCGGGGGCAGCGGGGGGCAGTCGTAACTTTGAGGAGGGGTCATAAAGTAGCTTTTTTGAAAGCCCGTCATAAGGTTGAATGATGGTTAAAGGACCCATGATCGGTCGCAAGTGGAGGACTGGCGGGGGGATGGACAGGAGAGGGGGAAGTCCCCACACTTACCTGGAGACAATCTGGATTCTGAGCTGCGAATTCCGTCCATTCCTGCAGAGCGCAGTGCTTGTGGATGGCGGTGAAGAGAGAGAACTGGGGGAAGGAAACAACAGGGGAAAAGGAGTTAAGATGCCCGGCTAGGAAGCGGCAGGATATCGTGAGTTCAAGTCCCGCCTGAGGCACGAAAGCCAGCTGAGGGACGCTGGGCCGGTCCCCGTCTCTCAGCCCAGGCCCGCCTCACAGGGTTGTTGGTGCTGTTGGGAAAACAGGAGGAGGAAGGTGGGATGGACATGTTCACTGCCTGGAGTTGTTTGTCAAAGGGAAGGAGAGGAAGGAAGGAAGGGAGAAAAAGAAAAGAAGGAAGAAGGGAGGGATGGAAAGAGGGAGAGAGAGAGTGAAAGAAGGAAGGAAAAAGGAAAAGAAAGAAAGAAAAAGAAAGAAAAAATGAAAGAAAGAAGAAGGAAGGAAGGAAGGAGAAAACAAGGAAGGAAAAAGGAAAAGAAAGAAAAAATTAAAGAAAGAAGAAGGAAGGAAGGAGAAAAGAAGGAAGGAAGAAAGGAGAAAGAAAGAAAAGAAAGAAAAGAAAGAAAAAAAGAAAAGGAAAGAAAGAAAGGAGGGAGGGAGGGAGGGAGAGGGACAAGAAGGAAGGAAGGAAGAAGGGAGGTATGGAAGGAGGGAGAGAGAGAGGGAAGGAGAAAGAGAAAGAAAGAGAAAAAGAAAAGAAGGAAGGAAGAAAGAAAGAAGAAAGGAAGAAAGGAAGGAGGGAGGGAGAAAGGAAGGAAGGAAGGAAGAAGAAAGGAAGAAAGAAAGAAAGAGGGGGGGAAGGGAGGGAGGGAGAGGGAGAAGAAGGAAGGAAGGAAGGAGGGAGGTATGGAAGGAGGGAGAGAGAGAGCGATGGAAGGAGAAAGAGAAAGAAAGAGAAAAGAAAGGAAGAAGGAAGGAAGGAAGGAAGGAAGAAGAAAGGAAGGAGGGAGGTAGAAGGAAGGAAGGAAGAAGAAAGGAAGAAAGGAAGAAAGAAGGGAGGGAGGGGGAGAAGAAGGAAGGAAGGAGGGAGGAAGGTATGGAAGGAGGGAGAGAGAGAGCGATGGAAGGAGAAAGAGAAAGAAAGAGAAAAAGAAAGAAAAGGAAGGAAGGAAGGAAGAAGAAAGTAAGAAAGAAGGGAGGGAGAAAGGAAGGAAGGAAGAAAGAAAAAAGGGGACGGAGAGAGGGAGAAAGGAAGGAAGAAAGAAAGAAGAAAGAGAAGGGATGGAGGGAGAAAGGAAAAAAGGAAGAAAGAAAGAAAAAGAAAGAAAGGGAAGGGAGGGAGGGAGGAATGGTGGCTGGGGGATTCTGGGTAGGGGATTCTGGGAGTTGAAGTCCAGCCATCTTCCAGAGGCCCAGCCTGAGAACCTCTGCCTAAGACCAAAGGCCGAGTTGGGGTTTTGGGGAAGGAAGCCATACCTTGCCCAACGCCTTGGCCATCTCAAAGGTCCCCACCGTGTCCATATTGGCCGCGATGATGGGAATCCCCGTGTAGGTCTGCTTGGAGTTACGGAAGGTGAAGGACCTCATGAGATCCACCTAGACACAAAGAGAAGGCGGCCAATCCAGAGAAGACGTCACTCCCTCAAACTTTGAAAGTTGGCTTCTCCCAACCTTGGGTTCCATCCAACCTCTCCCTGGACGACTTAAGCCGCCAGGAATGGCGGCCTGTCAATCACCCATCACCCATCTCGTGCCTGCTGTCAGGAGGAGAAAATCTCTCAGCCTCGCGACAGCTGCCCGAACGTCACATCCGTAGTCCTCGACTTACGACATTAGGCACAGGGATTTCCATTGCTAAACGAAGGGGTTATTAAGCGACCTCTTTTTTGCCACCGTGGCCGCGCCAATCACCGCAGTCGTTAAGTGAAACAGGTGGTCCTTAAGCAAATCCAGACACCCACCCCGGGGACTCTGCTTCCCAGAAAACCATCCGGGAAGGTCGCAAATGGCGATCGGAGCTGTCGTAAGTGCGTGCTGGATTGCCAAGCGGCCAAATTTTTAATCGCGTGACCGTGTGGGGATTCTGCAACGGTCGTAAGTGCGAGGACCGGTGGAAAAGCTGCTTTTTTTCCCCCCCCCCCCCCCCAGTTCCATGGAAACTTCAAAACAGTCACTAATCAAACGGCCGTAACTGGAGGACTATCCGTCTGCCCCTGGGGCATTCCGATCCGGTTCTGCTGCGGAACGAAAATGCAGGACTCCGAAACCAATAAGGCTCACCGCAATCCATTTTCATTCGGGGCTCCCGGGAGGAATTTCCTCCACTAAATATTAGGAGGCTTATATTTATATATTTTAGGAAAGGAGGAGAAAACGAAAATCATGAATATTCATAATTAGCAAACTACCAATTTACTGTTCGATCATCAAGATATTCTTAATTAAAAAAAAAAAAATCAGTTGCATTGCCATAGCGGCTTTCATAAAGCATATAGATAGCCCTCGACTTATGACCTCAACTCACCCCAAAATTTCTGTTGCTAAACGAGACAGTGAATTTTTTCCCCATTTTACGACCCTTTTCGGCCGCCGTCCTTAACTAACTCGCTGAAATTGAGAAGTCAGTCGTACTGACGTGCCACCTGCCACGCCCCCAGGATGCTGGGACCGTCATCGATATCTGAATTTTAACCGTGGAGATGCTGCAACGGTCGTTAAGTGCGAAAAATGGTCGCAAGTGGCTTTTTTTCCGTGCCGTGGTCACTTCAGTCACTAAAGCAATGGCTGTAAATTGAGGACTTTCTGTATACAACTGGGTTTGAGTTGAAAAAAAGTGGGAAGGAACGACCGAGCGTATTTTAAGTCCCCCTCCTGAGTCTTTTCCTCTGTTTTTGACTTCTTACCGTCACTAAATGTACTGTTGTAAGTCGAGGCTACCCGTACGGAGGACTTCAAGGTTGCCTCATTTAACGCACATTCCTTCTGTGTTTGCTACCTCACTAACACACTCACAAATTCCTCCAAGAATTTGGTTCCTTCACCCTGCCCAAACTCTTAGCGCGATTCTCAAATTCACTCCCAGAAGAGAAAACGTTAAGTAAATGTGCAATTTCTCTGTCTTTAAAACCATAGATATACATTTATTTATTATTATGCACATTTAGTTACCATATTTTCCGGCGTATAAGACGACTGGACGTATAAGACGACCCCCGACTTTTCCTGTTAAAATATAGGGTTTGGGCTATACTCGCCGTATAAGACTACCCCTCTTCCAACCCACACCAAATAAAAATAAAATAAAATAAAATAAATAAATAAAATAAAATTAATAAAAATACACACACACAACACAACACAACTGGCTCACCCACATTGTAAAAGCAGCTGTGCTCGACCCAAAATGGCCCCTGCAACAAGCAGGAACCTCACACGGCCACAAAAAGCCCAAAAAAACCAACTTTCACACTTTACACACACAAAATTCCACATACAGCTTTGTGAGATTTTGTGCGTTTGTGTAGTTAGAGTGAAACCCTACAGAAAGACACTAAATCTCAGAAAGCTGCACAAATATTATTTTATTTTATTTTTATTTCTATAGGAAAGCTAAATTTAAAACTTCCTAAACTTTAAATGGCTAGGTCTAAAAAAAGAACAGCTAAAAAAAAAAAGCCCAATTAACTATTTTTTTTTAAAGATCCCAAAGGGGGAAAAAACTTACCCAATAGAACAGGGGTCTCCAACCTTGGCAACTTTTAAGGCGTGTAGACTTCAACTCCCAGAATTCCTCAGCCAGCTTTGTTTTGCTGGCTGAGGAATTCTGGGAGTTGAAGTCCACAACTCCCTGCCTGCTTGATTGCAGGCAGAGAGATTCAGTTGCTTGCTGATGCAATGGATTGCAGGCAAGCGAAGCAAGGCAAGCGTTGCGACCAGCAGCTAAGGTAAGCAAGCTGGAGGGGGGAATTTTTTTGCCTTTTACATGGCTCTGGCGATCCCAGATGAGCTGGGATCGTCAGAACTTGGATCGCCAGAGCCATTTAAGGCTCGTCAGAGTCTTTCGGGCTGGTCTGCCTGGTTACAGGAGAACGACACCCGGCGTAAAAGACGACCCCCGACTTTTGAGAAGATTTTCATGTGTTCAAAAGTCGTCTTATACGCCGGAAAATACGGTAGCTCAATTATTATGATGATAACTGCTGCCTTGTCATCTGCAAGGAGAGTGACAAAAAAAGGCCTTCTACCTCGCTCCGGGATTTGAGGGTACTCCGTTTTGGTCTCAGGAGGACATCCTTGAAGTCCAATTTAATGTCATTCTCAATGTGGGGCATCGTGGATTCCTGTAAATTTAAAAAAATAAATAAAAATAAATAAATAAAAAGCAAAGAATCCTGGAATTCTGGAACACCAGGGATGAAATCTCAACCTTTTCTTCTCTAAACTTTTTTTCCTGACGATTAAGAATAATTAGCGGAACGAACTGAATCCAGAAGTTGTAAATGCTCCAACGCTGGAAGTTTTTAAGAAGAGATTGGCCAATCGTTGGCGGGAAATGGTATAAGATTTCCTGCCTGCGCAGGGGGTTGTCTAGAAGATCTCCAAGGTCCCTTCTAACTGTTTTCTATTCTATTCTATTCTATTCCATTCTATTCTATTCTATTCCATTCTACTCTACTCTATTCTGTTCTTCTATTCAATTCTATTCTATTCTACTCTACTCTACTCTATTCTTCTATTCTATTCTACTCTATTCTTCTATTCTATTCTATTCTATTCTACTCTACTCTACTCTATTCTTCTATTCTATTCTATTCTATTCTACTCTATTCTACTCTATTCTTCTATTCTATTCTATTCTATTCTATTCTATTCTATTCTATTCTATTCTATTCTACTCTACTCTACTCCTAATTCTAATTCTATTCTAATATTTCTATTTCTATTCTTTATTTCTAATATTATTATATTATATTATATTATATTATATTATATTATATTATATTATATTATATTATTTCTTTCTATTGCTATTCTATTATTCCGATTCTATTTCTATTATTGCGATTCTACCATGTTTCCCCAAAAATAAGATCTCCCCGGATAATAAGCCCAATTGGGCTTTTTTGTGCATGCACTAATATAAGCCCTCCCTGAAAATATTTAGCAGGTGGTCCTTGCCATTTCCACTGGTTAGGGTTAGGGAGACAGAGCTGGAAATCAGGTAAGACGGCAAGAGGAGCCCCGTCTTGCTCCACGCGCCCCAAAATAATAAGACCTCCCCAAAAATAAGACCAAGCCATTATTTCAGGGTTCAAAAAAATATAAGACAGGGTTTTATTTTCGGGGAAACACAGGTTTTTCTATTTCTATTTCTATTCTTTCTATTCCTCTTCCATTCCATTCCATTCTATTTCTGTTCTATTCTATTCTACAGTTAAACAATCTCCAATGCAAATTATTTTCCATCGGTCATCCCTTGCTTTTTCAAAAGGCAACTGAACTTCGTATTTTTCAAAGTATTTTTCCTTGAAGACATTTCCCTTCTCGTCCAAGAAGCTTCTTCAGTTCTTACCGAATGGTGGAGGCTGGAAGGATTTATATTCCTTTGCAGTCATCTGGTCATTAGTATTCTCTCTGAGAGTCGTTGAGGCCACTTAGAGGTTTATCTGTACCCTCAGGGTCACCCGAATACAAGTATTCCTCGATTTACAATTGTTCATTTAGTGACTATTCAAAGTTATGTCACTGAAAAAAGTGACTGATGACCATTTTTCACACTTACGACCTTTGCAGCATCCCCGTGCTCGTGTGATCAAAATTCAAATGCTTGGCCACTGTCTCACACTTACGACGTGATCCCCTTCTGCGACTTTCTGACAAGATTCACCTCACAACCGGGTTACTAATTTATCAACTTTAGTTATTCACTCAGCAACTGTGGCAAGAAAGGTCGTAAAACAGGGCAAAAACTCACTTCACAAACGACTCGCTTAACAACAGAAATTTGGGGCTCCGTTGTGATCATAAGTCGAGGACTCCCTGAAATGGGTGTGGATGAGAAGCGAAATGTTCTTGAAGGAAATACAAAAGTCCAGTTTTGCCTTTTGAAAAAAAAAAAGACCTTTGGGAAAATCTACATAGATCTTCTCAATCGTGTTTGCAAGGCTTTATGGCTCAAGGTAGTTAATGATCATTTTCCAATTACACTTTCAACTTTGTGACACTTTCAGCTCTCTTACTCTGGGTGGACTGTGTGGCTTTCAGGAACCAAAAGTCGCTGCCAATAAAAGTTTTATGACCTCCGTGTCAACATCGGCCTTGATTTCTGCATGATCGTTCCCGTCATTCTAAACAAAAAATAAATAATATGGAATTGAATTTCAAAAGTCCAACTTTATCACAAGTGAATCTCTCCTTTCCAAGGGTGAAATCCAGCAGGTTCTGACGAACCGGTAGCGGAAAATTTTGAGCAGTTCGGAGAACCGGCAAATACCACCTCTGGCTGGCTCCAGAGTGGAGAGGGAATGGGGATTTTGCAGTATCCTTCCCCTGGAGTGGGGTGGGAATGGAGATTTTGCAGTATCCTTTCCCAGGAGTGGGGTGGGAATGGGGGTTTTGCAGTATCCTTCCCCCAGGAATGGGGTGGGAATGGAGATTTTGCGGTATCCTTCCACCAGGAGTGGGGTGGGAATGGAGATTTTGCGGTATCCTTCCCCTGGAGTGGGCTGGAAATGGGGATTTTGCAGTATCCTTCCCTTAGAGTGGGGTGGGAATGGAGATTTTGCAGTATCCTTCCTCTGCCACGCCCATCAACCACACCCACAGAACCAGTAGTAAAAAAATTTGGATTTCACCGCTGTTCCTTTCCCATAAACCCTTGATCATCCTCATCTCCAATCTCTCAAAATTACCATTGTCTCAGTGCCACGAGATAACAGATCTTGAAACTCCCTCTGCCCTTCGTGCTAAGACTTCCCCTGCCCACGTTAAGAGTTCCACGGCGCCCCGATCGCTTCATCCCAAACCGGGAAGCTTCAGGGCCACCTCTGGTAGACTTGAACCGCTTTGAGCAGCTCTTCGATCTTAGGGAAGCCTTCATTGGCTTTGCAGTTTTATCTTTACCTGATCTGGCGAGACTACAACTCCCATGCGCCCCAGCCAGCACGGCCCATGGGGAATTGTAGTCCTCGCCCACCTGGAGGGCATGAGATTGGGGAATGCTAGGTTAGCCTAAGCCACTGTGTATCCACCTTGCACATTGGAAGCCGGGTGGACTTCAACTCCCAGAATTCCCCAGCCAGCCATGCTGGCTGGGGAATTCTGGGAGTTGAAGTCCACCCATTTTCAAGTTGCAAAATTGGGGAAACCCTGGCTTAAGCCATGCCAACCTTGCACCCCAACCCAGAATCCCCAGTTTGGTATCTCAAAACATGCATCCCAATTATTGACCCATTTTTAGGGTACGGAGTATATAGGGGGATGCACAAACCCCACTTCCGGTTCCCCGTTTTTTCGCTTTCCGTCCGCTTCCGGTCTTTTGGCGCTCCCCGAGAGGGGAAATAAAAAAAAAGCGACCTCGACTCGCTCTCGGCGTTCCAAGGTCTCCGCTAAGCCCCCCTCGAACCTGGCTGGCGTTCTCTTTTTATCGGAGGAGCAATGCCTTGTGGGAAACGTAGTTCTCGCTCTAAGCGTCTCCAAAGCCCGCAAGGGCTGTTAGAACTACATCTCCCGTAAGGGAGCGCGCTTAAACGCGATGACGTCAGGCGCAGAGGCAAACGCCAATCAGCCTGCTGAGACAAGAAAAACTACAGCTCCCAGGGACCAAAACGTCACAAATATGTCTCCGAGCGGCCATGTTTGTTTTCTTTCTTTCTTTCTTTCTTTTTTTGGTACTATTTTCGCCTCAGCGATAGAACAAACCTTTCAACAATTCCAGAATTAATAAATATTAATGTATAAATATAAATATTAATAAATTTATTAAAACAATTATATAATTCTGATTTCTAATGATTATTCGAAATAGAATTACATTGTATTGAAGCGTATGATACCCAGGTATCACACCATTCACGCATTGATACGTATAAACAATGACAATAAAGTTTATTTATTTATTTATTTAAACAACATAAAATTAAAAACAAAAACTTGAATTGGGGAAAAAGGAAGAAATAGAATTATAGCTCCTTCCTTCACGATAACGGCGCTCTCTTTCTTTTACGCGGCCTACCCAAAAGAAGAGCGGTGACAGAATCGCGGGGCGTGCTGGGAAACGGAGTCCTCCGCTCCATTCCATCCCAGCCAACCTAACGGAGGAAAAGACAGCGTCTCCCATAATGCCGCGCGACAGCGGCGGAAGGATATCTAAAAAGCAGGACTCTCTCTCTCTCTCTCCTTTGGCTTTGAATGAAGGAGCAAAAGACAGGAAGTGACGTCACCGGAGACCGGAAACAATTCTTCGGGAGCGCCGGCGAAGCCAGTTCCGCTTCCGAGGTCGGAGGTTGGGCGTCGCTGAGAGAGGCACCGGGACGGGCGAGCGAAGCGAACGAAGCGGCCAGGATGTTAATCAAAGTGAAGGTGAGGCGGGGAGGCTCCGGCGGAGGGGAGCCGCCAAACGGGCCCTGTCTTCCCACGTGCGCTGAGGCGCGGCATCCCTAGGGAGCGCCGGCCGCGGTGCATTATGGGCGGCTCTGAGGCGCCCGGCAGGCAGAAGCCCAACCGGTAGAGCTGCTTTTCTCTCTCTCTCTCTCTCTCTCTCTCTCTCTCTCTCTCTCTCTCAGCAGGCAGCGCTCCAGGCCGTGAAGGGCGGCAAAAGACGTAGGTTCTCTCAGGGGACACAAGTTCGCCGGTTCGAATCCCCTGTACAGTGTCTCCTGCCTGTGCAGGGGGTTGGGCTAGATGACCTCCAAGGTCCCTTCCAACTCAGTTACTCTGTTACAAGCCCCACAAAAAGGCATCGCAACCCCAGGGATGTAGTAGCCTTCCTTCAATCAAAGCCCCAGGAGTTACATACATACATACATATAACCTATCTGTTTACTTTTTCGTCTGTCAGTCTGCCTGCCTCCCTCTATCTATCTATCTATCTATCTATCTATCTTTATCTATCTATCTATCTATCTTTATCTATCTATCCATCCATCTATCATCTGTCTATCTATCCTCGGGCTTCGATTGAAGGAAGGCTAGTACATCCTAGATATAGATATAGATACTACATCCTATATATCTATATCTATCTATCTATCTATATCTATCTATCTATCTTTATCTTCTATCTGTATCATCTATCTATCTTTATCATCTATCTATCTTTATCTATTCATCTATCCATCCATCCATCCATCCATCCATCTATCATCTGTCTATCTATCCTCGGGCTTCGATTGAAGGAAGTCTACTACATCCTATATCTATATATCTATGTATCTTTATCTATCCATCTATATATCTTTATCCATCCATCTATCATCTGTCTATCTTTATCCATCCATCTATCTATATCTATCCATCCATCTATCATCTGTCTATCTATCTATCCTCGAGCTTTGATTGAAGGAAGGCTAGCACATCCTATATCTAGATATAGATATAGATACTACATCCTATATATCTATATCTATCTATCTATCTATCTTTATCCATCTATCTATCTTTATCTTCTATCTATCTTTATCATCTATCATCTATCTTTATCCATCTATCTATCTTTATCTTCTATCTATCTTTATCATCTATCATCTATCTTTATCCATCTATCTATATCTATCCATCCATCTATCATCTGTCTATCTATCTATCCTCGGGCTTCGATTGAAGGAAGGCTACTACATCCTATATCTATATATAGATATAGATACTACATCCTATATATCTATACCTATCTATCTTTATCTATCTACCCATTTATCTATCTATCTTTATCTATCACCTATATCTATCTATCCATCCACCTATCATCTGTCTATCTATCTATATACACCTATGTCTATATATATACACACATCCTGTTTCCCCCAAAATAAGACATCCCCTGGTAATAAACCCATTCTGGTTTTTGAGTGCATGGCAATAAGGCCAAGCGCTTATTTCAGGGTTCACAAAAATATAAGACAGGGTCTTATTTTCAGGGAAACACATACACACACACACACACATATAAATTTGGTATAAAATGGTTTCTCGTGAATGTGACTGCTTGAGGGCTCCTGGATTGGAGCTGAAAAGCGAAAGGGAAGCAGGATGCTCCCTCCCATATTGGGGTAGACCAGGTGCTGCGATAGAAAAACACTATACACACACACACACACACACTGTTTCCCCTAAAATAAAATAAGCCCTCCCCGAAAATATTTAAATTCCTGCACAGCCGGTCCCTGCCATTTCCTCTGGTATCCTCCATGCACCCCAAAATAGTAAGAATTCCCCAAAAAGAAGGCCAAGTGCTTATTTCAGGGTTTAAAATTTAAGACAAGGTCTTATTTTGGGGGAAACACAGTGTGTGTGTGTGTGTGTATTTATCTTTTATAGGATATTTCTCAGAAAAAAAAAGGCTCGACTAATTGGACGATCCAACAGAATTAGTCATTAATCTTACATTAGTGCAGGTAATCCTCGATTTACAACCACAGGGGGGACCTGTGGCTAAACGAGTCAGTCGGGCACGTGATCATGGGGTGATGATGCAATGGCCATAAGTGTGACAAAACAGTCCTCGGTCACTTTTTAACAGTGCCGTCCTAAGTTTCAACGGTCACTAAATGAATGGTAAATCGAGGACTGCCTGTAAGCGGGTCGTTGCCCAAAGGGATTGGGATTTTGTGCCTTGGGAAAGGTTGCAAGGGAAGGAAATCATCCCATAGAGTAGAAAGTTGGGAATAATAATTTGACAACAGCAAGAACAATAACCATATTATTATAAACTTTTATTCATTACACATAAACTCAGTCAACTGAACATTTAAAAATGTATCATAAATACCATTGACTGGCTCTGATGGTTGATACGGGTTGTTGCCAGCATCCTAGGTATCAACCAAGTATCTTCTTTTCCAAGTTTATTATTACTATTATTATTATCATTACTATTAGCATACTAAAAAGCAGAGACATCATCCTGCCAACCAAAGTGTGTATAGTCAAGGCGATGGTTTTCCCAGTTGCAATGCAGGGCTGTGAAAGTTGAACCCTAAGGAAGGCTGAGCGCCAAAGAATGGAGGCCTTTGAACTCTGGTGCTGGAGAAGACTCCTGTGAGTCCCTTGGACTGCAAGGCGATCCAACCGGTCGGTCCTAGAGGAGATCAACCCTGATTGCTCTTTAGAAGGCCAGATCCTGAAGAGGAAACTCAAATCCTTTGGCCACCTAATGAGAAGGAAGGACTCACTGGAGAAGAGCCCAATGCTGGGAACGATGGAGGGCAAAAGAAGAAGGGGACGACAGAGAACGAAGTGGCTGGATGGAGTCACCGAAGCAGTCGGCCGGAGCTTAAATGGACTCCAGAGGATGGTAGAGGACAGGAAGGCCTGGAGGAACGTTGTCCATGGGGTCGCGATGGGTCGGACACGACTTTGCGACTAACAACAACAACATTTTTACTATTATTATTAGCCAACTGGCATGGGGCTCTGATAGAGAGTGTGTGTCCCCCATTTCGGAGGAGGCTAATTAGTTTTAGTGCAAGTTCCCACTTCCACCCTGTGTACACGTTAGCTTTTTCTCTGCTTGAATATTAATTTTAATGTTTTTAACGTCTGCTGTTTAAATGTTTTAATCCCATCATTGGCATCCTTCAGTCTCAAGAGACTATGGTATCGTGCTCTGGAAAGAGGTCCTAAAACAGCATTTAGTGTGACTAAAAAGGCCAATTTTAGAGTGGCAATCCCTTCCACACTGAGGCCGGTACATTCGGTCCCCTGCCCAGCCTCCAGATTTCACTGGTTCCGGGACTCCCTCTTTGCCTCGGCCTGCCGAACAAGTGTCTCTTCAAATTGGAGAAGGCCGTGCTGCGTCTTTAGCCTCCAAGCTGAATGATTTTAATTCCATAATTGTTTTATTCTGTTATTTATGGTATTGTGAGTCATTTGGTAGAGATGGGCAGCAGACAAATTTAATAATGTCATAACAAAGAAAGGCAAAAAAACCGAAGTCTGGATAGTGGACATGGCAGCACCTGCAGACGTGAAGAGAAGGTAACAAAAATACAAAGACCTGCAAATAGAAAAAGAACGACTGTGGCAAAAGAAAGCAAAGTTAGGACCAATAGTAATGGGGGCTTTGGATGCAATCCCAAAATATCTGAAGCCCCTCTTGGAACACCATCGGCATTGACCGAAATCCCCATCGGTCAATTGTAAAGAGGCAGCTTTACTCAGAATAGCTTACATCCTGTGACAATACCTTCAAACGCCATCAAATATCAACATCCAATATTTGGGGGGTTGCCCTAGAGAGGAGGAAGGGGGTCAAGCTATTTTCTAAGGCACCCGAAGGTCAGACAAGGAATAATGGATGGAGACTGATCAAGGAGAGATTCGGGAGGATTAGGGGACTGGAGGCTAAAACATAATAACAAATGGTTGCTGGAATTGAGTATGTCTAGTTTGATGAAAAAAAGGACTAGGGGTGACATGATAGCAGTGTTCCAATATCTCAGGGGCTGCCCCAAAGAAGAGGGGGCGGAGTCACATTATTCTCCAAAGCATCTGAGGGCAGGACAAGAAGCAATGGGTGGAAACTAATCAAGGAGAGAAGCAACTTAGAACTAAGGAGAAATTTCCTGACAGAACAATTAATCCGTGGAACAACTTGCTTGCAGAAATTGTAAATGCTCGAACACTGGAAGTTATTAAGAAGATGTTGGATAACCATTTGTGTTGTGGCTCGTCAGCGGCCTGTGCGGATTGTAGCTGATTCTGACAACGAGGAGGCTGGTGTGGTGCTGCGCCAGCAGCCTGTGCAGCTGGCACTCGAGTCAGACAGTGAGGAGGCTGGAGAAGATGTGGTGCCAGAGGCAGGGATTCCGCCAGGGCCTTCAGAAGCTCCCATAAGTGAAGAGGACGAAGAGGAGGAGCCTCTTCTCGATGCACGGGCTCTGCGCAGGAGTGGCTCCTCAGGAGGAGGTCTCCTTGAGAGTAAGGCTTGGGGCTAATTGGCCACTCCCTTAGCCTATTTAAGGAGGAACGCCGACTGAAGCAATTTGTAGGGAACAACTTTAGTTCATTCTCCTTCGCGTCGGGATTCTCTGCAAATTGCTTCTGGGCTGTCTGCCAACCTTAATAAGATTGTGATTACTTTATCTTTGGTTTCGCCTCTGTCCGAATGCGATCTAAAAAGCCGGAAATGTAGGTGAGTGAAATACCTTTTGATTTATGCATAAGCAAGGACATAACAAAAGTTAGCAGATCCCTTCCCTTTCTCTCTTTAGAATTGAATCCGAGTGGGATTCTACAGAGGGAGTAGACGACGGTGATTTGATGAACCTTTTTTTTCTCTCTCTCTCTCTTCCTTTCGTTGCAGACGCTGACCGGGAAAGAGATAGAGATTGATATCGAACCGACGGACAAGGTATCGGCCCTCAAAAGAATGGGGTGGGTTTTGATTTGCTGATTATCCTTGTTGCGTGTCCTGCTTTGCTTTCAAACGCAGTTCACCCTCGACTCCCTGAAGGCCTCTTGTTTGTAGAAAGAGAGAGGAAGGTCTGTATTTGGAGCTCCCGTGCAAACTAGGGGGAACTCCTCCACCATGTCCCCCCACCCACCCCTTCTTTCTACAATCTTTGTAAAGCATTAGTAAGGCCACACCTGGAATCCTGCGTCCAGTTTTGATCAGAAAAAGATGTTGTGACTTTGGGGAGGGAAAGTGCAAAGAAGGGGAACTAAAATGATAATAGGAGGCTGGATAATTTTAATTTCATTTAAGCGAGGATAATTTAATGTAATCTGAGCAGGTCATAGGGACGGGGTAGCGCGGTGGCTAAGACGCTGAGGTTGTCGATCGAAAGGGCGGCAGTTTGGTGGTTCGAATCCCTCCTGCCGCGTAACGGGGTGAGCTCCCCGTGACTTGTCCCAACCTAGCAGTTCGAAAGCAGGTAAAAAATGCAAGTAGAAAAATAGGGACCACCTTTGATGGGAAGGGAACAGCGTTCCGTGCGCCTTTGGCGTTGAGTCATGCCAGCCACATGACCACGGAGACGTCTCCGGACACCGCTGGCTCTTCGGCTTTCAAACGGAGATGAGCACTGCCCCCTAGTTTCGGGAACGACTAGCACATATGTGCGACGGGAATCTTTACCTTTAAGCAGGTCATACAAATTGAATGCTTCTGAGATGATTAGGAGACTGGAGACTAAAACATACGATGAACGGTTGCAGGAACTGGGTTTGGCTAATCTAGAGAAAAGAAGGACTAGGGGTGACATGAAAGCAGTATTCCAGTATTTGAGGGGCTGCCCCAAAGAAGAGGGGGTCTGTCAAGTTTCGAGGTCGTCTCAAATAAATTGCATTTCAAACAAAGTCTTTGAAGAAAAACTCCTATTTATTAAGCACGACATTCTAACCCGACTCCAAACGAAGCCAACACTGACTTCCAGCCCCCAAACCCTCCCTTTCCGTTCCCCACTCCCCTGAGCTCATTGACCATCTTCCAAGCCACTCTACCCCTAATCTACTGCTCCAGCTCAAAGGAATTTCCCCCCTCCCATCTCATCTCCTAGGGGATATTATCTCCAGGGAAAATAAGTAGGTGAAAAGTCAAACGTCCCTTTCCAGACGCCTTCGCTTCTCCTTCTTATGTCAGCACTAAATGCAGGTTGAAGTGCTGGCAGGGTCAACCTATTCTCCAAAGCACCAGAAGGCAGGACAAGAAGCAACGTATGGAAACTCATCAAGGAGTGAGAAAGCAACCTGAAACTTCCTAATAGTGTGGACAATTAACCAGTGGAACAGCTTGCGAATAGAATAGATAGAATAGAATAGAATAGAATAGAATAGAATAGAATAATAGAATAGAATAGAATAGAATAGAATAGAATAGAATAGAATAGGAATAGAATAGAATAGAATAGAATAGAATAGAATAGAATAGAATAGATACAGTCATAAATGGTAGGAGATGGGTGGTGGGACCGATGAGAAGATTAATAGTAGTGTAGATTTAGTGAATAGTTTGAGAGTGTTGAGGAAATTATTTGTTTTTGTTTTTTTGTTTTTTTTTTTATTTGATTTATATGCCGCCCTTCTCCGGAGACGCAGGGCGGCTTACAGTGCGTTAAGCAATAGCCTTCATACTTTTGTATATTTATACAAAGTCAGCTTATTGCCCCCACAAACTGGGTCCTCAATTTACCTACCTTAGAAAGGATGGAAGGCTGAGTCAACCTTGAGCCTTGGAGAGATTCGAACCAGCAGTAAATTGCAGGCAGCTGTGTTAATAACAGGGTGCTTAGACCACTGTACTATTAAGGCTCTTTAGCAGAGTGATGGCGTTCGGGGAAAAAACTGTCCTCGTGTCTAGTTGTTCTGGTGTGCAGTGCTCTATAGTGTCATTTTGAGGGTAGAAGCTGAAACAATTTATATCCAGATGCGAGGGGGTCTGTAGATATTTTCACAGCCCTCTTTTTGACTCGTGCAGCATACAGGTCCTCAATGGAAGGCAGGTTGGTAGCCATTGTTTTTTTCCGCAGTTCTAATGATCCTCTGAAGTCGGTGTCTGTCTTGTTGGGTTGCAGAGCCAAACCAGACAGTTCTAGAGGTGCAGATGAGAGACTCCATCATTCCTCTGTAGAACTGGATCAGCAGCTCCTTGGGCAGTTTGAGCCTTCTGAGTTGACGCAGAAAGAACATTCTTTGTTGCGGTTTTTTTGATGACATTTTTGATGTTCGGTGTCCATTTTAGATCTTGCGATACGGTAGAACCTACAAATTTGAAGGTCTCGACCGTTGATACTGTGTGGTCTAGTATTGTGAGAGGTGGAAGTACGGGAGGGTTTCTCCTAAAGTCCACCATCATTTCTACGGTTTTGAGTGGGTTCAGTTCCAGGTTCCTGTTAGTTCCTGGAGAAACTCTTCCGACAATGATTCAGATGTTGACGGCCTTCACCGTAGCGGCCGTGGGTTGGCGTGAAGACGCTTGGGTGTTTTCTTGGAGCAGAATCAAACATTACAGCAATGTTCCTCGGTCTTGGGGAACTGGAAGATGGGTGGACTTCCAACGATGTCCTTGAAGTGATATCCCGGTGCCTGGAGGCCGTGCGGGTCTGGATGGGGAGGAACAGGCTCAGACTCAACCCCTCCAAGACCGAGTGGCTGTGATTGCCGGCGTCCCGATATAGTCAGCTGGTGCCATCGCTGACTATTGGGGGTGAGACATTGGCCCCCACGGAGAGGGCGCGTAACTTGGGTGTCCTACTGGATGCACGGCTGTCTTTAGAAGAGCATATGACGGCCGTGGCCAGGGGGGCTTTCTATCAGGTTCGCCTGATTCGCCAGTTGCGCCCCTTTCTGGATCGGGACTCCTTATGCACGGTCGCTCATGCCCTCGTCACTTCCTGCCTGGACTACTGCAACGCTCTCTACATGGGACTCCCCTTGAGGAGCATTCGGAGGCTCCAACTGGTGCAGAATGCGGCCGCGCGGGTACTTATGGGGGCAACATGGCGCTCCCATGTGACACACCTCCTGCGCGAGCTGCATTGGCTTCCAGTGGTCTTCCGGGTGCGCTTCAAGGTATTGGTTCTCATCTTCAAAGCGTTCCATGGCTTAGGGCCCGGTTATTTACGAGACCACTTTCTGCCACCGATAACCTCCCACCGACCAATACACTCCCGCAGAGAGGGCCTCCTCAGGGTGCCGTCGGTCAGGCAATGTCGGCTGGCGACCCCCCGAGGAAGAGCCTTCTCTGTGGGGGCACCCGCCCTCTGGAATGAGCTATCCCCAGGTATACGACTGATCCCGGACCTCCGGACCTTCCGCCGGGCTCTGAAGACTTTTTTATTTCAGCAAGCCGGGCTGGGTTAAAAAATGTTTAATTGGTGAATTTTATGGGTAAGGGGTTTTTAAATTGGGGGAAGCCTAAGATAAATCTAATTTTGTTTTATAGTATTTTAATGTTTATATTGCATGTTTTATAATTTTGGCTGTTCACCGCCCCGAGTCCTTCAGGAGAGGGGGCGGCATAAAAATTTAAAAAATAAATACTCTCTTACTCTCTTTTTTTCCCTTTCTCTGCTCCCTTTCAGGTGGAAAGAATAAAAGAGCGGGTGGAAGAAAAGGAAGGCATCCCGCCGCAACAGCAGCGACTCATCTACAGCGGCAAGCAAATGTGAGTTTCAACCAAGGGAGAGTGTGTCACGCCAGCATAGGTTTTATCCTGATTAGTTTAGGGGGAGGGACCGTTGAACAAAACCGAGCCGAGAATGCTTTGAAAAACAAGGGATCAGAGTCACTGGGGAAGCCAGCAGGAAATCGGAAGTCACGATCACATGCGGTCCCTCACTTAATGCCCTGCATTGGTCCTCGTTTAAAGAGGGCAACTGGGAACTCTCGGATTTGCTGTCTCCCTCACCCATTTTGGTATATGTGTCCAAAATTGGGACTCACCCCCTGCTTTTGTCTCTCACCCCCCCCCCCCCCCCCCCCCCACAGGAACGATGAGAAAACAGCCGCCGACTACAAGATCCAGGGCGGCTCCGTCCTTCACTTGGTTCTAGCCCTGCGTGGAGGTCTGCGATGATGGCGCCCCCGGCACCCGCCGCGCCACCCCACCTTTCCCTAAAGCCCCCGGATGTGGGTGAGCCTCACCCCCCTCCCCACTCGAGGCGTCGTGGGAGGCCCGTCGGGTTCGAGCGCATCCCGCCGCTTTCCGTCTCTCCCGAATCCCAGGAGGGGAACTGCCTGACACCGCCGCCTCCCCGGAAGTCTCTTCCTTTGCAAGTTGTCTTTGGGAGAGGTTTGGGGGGGGAGGGATTGTGTTTTGGGGGAACGGGGTGCTCTTTTAAGTTATCGGGGTGCAGCCTCCGTCTCGCTGCATGTGCTGGTTTTTGCCACCCGGGTCCCCAAGTGTCTTTCCCCACTATCCTCGTCATTTCGTGGCTAATAAATGTTCAATAAACGTTTCACAATCTTCACAGCGTCTTTTGTGTCTCCTGGGATCTGAAGGGTTTCTTTCTGAGGGGGGCGGTGTGTTGATTTGGGTCAATTCCGCCTTTGCTAAGTCCTCGACGTACGACCATCATCCTCCCATTTACGACTGGTCGCTTAGGAGCGGTTTGAAGCGAAGACGGAGCCCCCAAAATGGTACCGAAGACCAAATTTCGACTCACAAATACAAATTTTGGCACACAACACCCTGTCGCATCACAATTTGCGCACTCGACAACCAGCCTGCCTCGACCGCCGTTTTCTGCGCCTCGTCATGTGACCCCGATTTATGACAATTTTGGGGGAGGGGGGCCTGGAAACCGGCATTTTACATCAGGTTTCCAACAAGCGTCCATTGCAGAAAATGGGTTCGCTTAACCTTAACCTCGCGATTCATTTAACGACCACTGCAAAAAGAATCGTATATGGTCCTGTCATCACCTACTTAACCCGGCGCATCTTAGAATCGTAATCCTAAAAGACTCCGTTACAGTCGTACGTTGAGGACTCCTCTAACATTTGAGTGGAGAAAGTTAAGCTATTCCTATTTTCATCATCGGGTTGATAAAAATTTGGGGGAGACCAAAATCAGAGTTTAATTTCTCTTTTTTTAAAAAATGACAGGTTGCACAATTTTGGGATTTATATCCTGCTTTTTGCTTCGTACGATTCCAGATATTTTTTATTTATTTAAAAGATTTCTAGATCCTGGGTGACACAACCTTCAACCACTCACATGATGCTCTCGCTTATATCTTCCATGAGAAGAAGTCTGGGGGTGGGGTGGGGTGGGGCTGAGCACCTGGTCGAAAGGCATCCAGCTGGTTTTGTGCCTAAGATGGGACTAGAACTCGCCGTCTCCTAGTGATTGGCTCAAAGTCACCAAGCGGCTGTCGATCCTAAGGCAGGACTAGAACTCGCCATCTCCTGGTGATTGGCCCAAAGTCACCCAGCTGTCTTTCTTGCCTAAGGCGGGACTAGAACTCACCGTCTCCTGATGATTGGCTCAAAGTCACCCAGCTGTCTTTCTTGCCTAAGGGGGACTAGAACTCACCGCCTCCTGGTGATTGGCTCAAAGTCACCCAAGCGGCTGTAGATCCTAAGGCAGGACTAGAACTCGCCATCTCCTGGTGATTGGCCCAAAGTCACCCAGCTGTCTTTCTTGCCTAAGGCGGGACTAGAACTCACCGTCTCCTGGTGATTGGCCCAAAGTCACCCAGGTGTCTTTCTTGCCAAAGGCGGGACTAGAACTCACCATCTCCTGGTGATTGGCCCAAAGTCACCCAGCTGTCTTTCTTGCCTAAGGCGGGACTAGAACTCACCGTCTCCTGGTGATTGGCCCAAAGTCACCCAGGTGTCTTTCTTGCCAAAGGCGGGACTAGAACTCACCATCTCCTGGTGATTGGCCCAAAGTCACCCAGCTGTCTTTCTTGCCTAAGGCGGGACTAGAACTCACCGTCTCCTGGTGATTGGCTCAAAGTCACCCAAGCGGCTGTCGATCCTAAGGCAGGACTAGAACTCGCCATCTCCTGGTGATTGGCCCAAAGTCACCCAGCTGTCTTTCTTGCCTAAGGCGGGACTAGAACTCACCGTCTCCTGGTGATTGGCCCAAAGTCACCCAGGTGTCTTTCTTGCCAAAGGCGGGACTAGAACTCACCATCTCCTGGTGATTGGCCCAAAGTCACCCAGGTGTCTTTCTTGCCAAAGGCAGGACTAGAACTCGCCATGTCCTGGTGATTGGCCCAAAGTCACCCAGCTGTCTTTCTTGCCAAAGGCGGGACTAGAACTCACCGCCTCCTGGTGATTGGCTCAAAGTCACCCAGCTGTCTTTCTTGCCTAAGGCGGGACTAGAACTCACCGTCTCCTGGTGATTGGCTCAAAGTCACCCAACTGGCTTCCGTGCCTAAGGCGGGACTAGAACTCACCGTCTCCTGGTGATTGGCCCAAAGTCACCCAGGTGTCTTTCTTGCCAAAGGGGGGACTAGAACTCACCATCTCCTGGTGATTGGCCCAAAGTCACCCAGCTGTCTTTCTTGCCTAAGGCGGGACTAGAACTCGCTGTCTCCTGGTGATTGGCTCAAAGTCACCCAAGCAGCTGTCGATCCTAAGGCAGGACTAGAACTCGCCATCTCCTGGTGATTGGCTCAAAGTCACCCAAGCGGCTGTCGATCCTAAGGCAGGACTAGAACTCGCCATCTCCTGGTGATTGGCCCAAAGTCACCAGCTGTCTTTCTTGCCTAAGGCGGGACTAGAAACTCACCGTCTCCTGGTGATTGGCCCAAAGTCACCAGGTGTCTTTCTTGCAAAGGCGGGACTAGAACTCACCATCTCCTGGTGATTGGCCCAAAGTCACCCAGGTGTCTTTCTTGCCAAAGGCAGGACTAGAACCGCATGTCCTGATGTCCTGGTGATTGGCCCAAAGTCACCAGCTGTCTTTCTTGCCAAAGGCGGGACTAGAACTCACCGCCTCCTGGTGATTGGCTCAAAGTCACCCAGCTGTCTTTCTTGCCTAAGGCGGGACTAGAACTCACCGTCTCCTGGTGATTGGCTCAAAGTCACCCAAGCGGTTGTAGATCCTAAGGCAGGACTAGAACTCACCATCTCCTGGTGATTGGCCAAAGTCACCCAACTGGCTTCCGTGCCTAAGGCGGGACTAGAAACTCACCGTCTCCTGGTGATTGGCCCAAAGTCACCCAGGTGTCTTTCTTGCAAAGGCAGGACTAGAACTCACCATCTCCTGGTGATTGGCCCAAAGTCACCCAGCTGTCTTTCTTGCCTAAGGCGGGACTAGAACTCACCGTCTCCTGGTGATTGGCTCAAAGTCACCCAAGCGGCTGTAGATCCTAAGGCAGGACTAGAACTCACTGTCCCCTAGTTGTTGGCCAAAGTCACCAGTCCCAGCTAGGCCTCAATTTCTGGTGATTGGCAAGATAAACAGCATATAAACAGCGAACCCTCCTCTCTCCTTACATTGAGGATATTTCCTCCTCCTCCTCCTCCTCCCTCCTGCCAACCCCACTCCCTTGTAGCACTGATGATGTTCCCACCTTGGGTCATGAAACGTCTGCAAGAAAACCACCAGCTCAGAGACCCCCAAGGTCCCCACAGTCCTCCCCCTCCTACCCTCCTCCTCCTCCTCCTTCCCACCTCCTTCTCTTCACCACCTTTTGCCTCTTCCTCCTCCTTCCTCTACTTCACAAACCCCACTCCCTTCTAGCACTGATGATGTTCCCTAGTTGGGTGATGAGACGTTTGCAAGAAAACCACCAAGCTCAGGGATCAGCAAGAACCTCACAGTCCTCCCCCTCCTCCCTAAATCCCACCCTCCCTTCTAACACTGAAGATATTACCTAGTTGGGTCATGAAACGTCTGCCAGAAAAACCACCCAGTTCAGAGAGCATCAAGGACCCCACAACCCTCTTCCTCCTCCTCTTTCTTTCTTTCTTTCTTTCTTTCTTTCTTTCTTTCTTTCTTTCTTTCTTTCTTTCTCTCTTTCTCTCTTTCTTTCCTTCCTTCCTTCTTTTTCTTCTTCCTTTCTTTTTCTTTCTTCCTTTCTTTCCTTCTTCTTTTTTTCTTCTTTTCTTCTTCCTTTCTTCCTTTCCTTCTTTTCTCTTTTCTTTCTTTCCTTCTTTCTTCTTTTCTTCTTCCTTTCTTTTTCTTTCTTTCCTTCTTTTCTTCTTCCTTTCTTTTTCTTTCTTTCCTTCTTTCCTTCTTTTCTTCTTCTTTTCTTCTTTCTTCCTTCCTTTCCTTCCTTCTTTCTTTCCTTTTTCTTCTCTTCTTCTTTTTCTCCCCCTCCCCTTCTTTCTTCTTCTTCTTCTTCTCTTTTTTCTTCTTCTTCTTCTTCTTTTCTTCCTTCCTTCTTCCTTCCTTCCTTCCCTTCTTTCTTTCTTTCCTTCTTCTTTCTTCTTCTTCTTCTTCTCCCCCTCCCCTTCTTTCTTCTTTCTTCTTCTTCCTCTTTTTTCTTTTCTTCTTCTTCTTTTTTTATTCTTCCTTCCTTTCTTTCTTTCCTTCCTTCTTTCTTTCCTTCCTTCTTTCTTCTTCTTCTTCTTCTTCTTCTTCTTCTTCTTCTTCTTCTCCCACTCCCCTTCTTTCTTCTTCTCCTCCTCCTCCTCCTCCTCCTCCCTAAATCCCACCCTCCCTTCTAGCCCTGATGATATTACCTAGTTGGGTCCTGAAACGTCTGCCAGGAAAAACCACCGAAGGACGGGGATCCTTTTCTTTAGCGACCGTTCGCAGTTACGACGGACGTTCTGGAGAGGAGGGGAGGGCTCCAGCAGCCCATCCCCGTCTCCTAGGAACCCGATCCAGCCCCAGCCTCCCGATCCAGGCGCCCAGTTTGCAGCTCCCTGCCAAGTTGATCCCCCTGCCAAGCGGATCTCTCCGATCCTGGCCAGATTCCCTCCGGGCGGATCAAGGGTTAACCTTACAAGGAGGCGGGCAGGAACCGGCTGGCTGCGGGAAGGAGGAAGCGGAGAAGCGCCCGGCTTTGCTCTGGATCCGCCTTGCGCGCGATCGGGTAGATTTTAGGATCCACTGGGGATCGCGCCGACTTGCAACGCGCTAAAAAAAAAAAAAAAAGGCCTCCAGGCTTTTGCATTGCAAACCTGCCTTTATTTGCGCCCAAATCGGGCTCGGAGCGCTGGAAAGTCCCCTCGTTTGCGTTGCCCGGAATCTGCGCCGATCCTATGCCCCTTCCCCTCCTCCGCTCCTCTTTCGGGGGATCCCGTGGATAGGCGGGCCATGTGCAGGAAACCCGCCTTGGTGGTGTTTGATCTGGGTAAGCGGGTTGGGTGGGGGGCGGGGGTTGGGTTGGATCGCAAAGCCCATCATCCTGGGCTGTGGCTGGGGGTTAGGGATGGGGGCAGTTTGGGGGGGATTGACTTGCCCCGGAGGGGGGGGGGAGGTTGGGGGGGGTTGGGGGAAGGCAGGGGGGTCTTCTTCCAGCATTTTGGGGGGGTGAAAAGACCCCCCTAAAAATCAGTCTATTATTATTATTATTATTATTATTATTATTATTATTATTATTATTAATTATTATTATTATTTTTATTACTATTCTTTACTATTTTTACTATTATTATTACTATTATTATTATTATTATTATTATTATTATTTAATCTTTAGTGAGATTCACAGCCTTTGAGGCTGGTTAATAGCTCAGCAGCTCAAGTCCTAACAAGGATAGGAACTGGTTAATTATATTCGTTGGATTATTATAAGCTATTATTATTATTATTATTATTATTATTATTATTTATTATTATTATTATTATTATTATTATTATCAAATTATTCATTAAACATTAAACTTCAGTCAACTGAAACATTCAAAAATGCATCACAAATACCATTGACTGGTGCTAATTATTATTATTATTATTATTATTTAATTATTCATTAAACATGAAACTCAGTCAACTGAACATTCAAAATTATTATTATTATTATTATTATTATTATTATTATTATTATTATTATTTAATCTTTAGTGAGATTCACAGCCTTTGAGGCTGGTTAATAGCTCAGCAGCTCGAGTCCTAACCAAGGACCTAGGAACTGTTAAGGTATCGTCGGAGGATGTCAGCTGTTCCGAGTATTATTATTATTATTATTATTATTATTATTATTACTACTACTACTATCTTTATTCATTAAACATGAAACTTCAGTCAACTGAACATTCAAAAATGCATCACAAATACCATTGACTGGTGCTAATTATTATTATTATTATTATTATTATTATTATTATTATTATTATTATTATTATTATTATTATTATTATTATTATTATTATCATTATTATCATTATTATCATTATTATCATTATTATTATTTACTTTATTCATTAAACATGAAATTCATTCAAAAATGCATCACAAATACCACTGACTGGTGCTTATTATTATTATTATTATTATTATTATTATTATTAATGTTATTCATTAAACATGAAACTCAGTCAACTGAACATTCAAAAATGCATCACAAATACCATTGACTGGTGCTAATTATTAATATTATTATTATTTACTTTATTCATTAAACATGAAACTCATTCAAAAATGCATCACAAATACCATTGACTGGTTATTATTATTATTATTATTATTATTATTATTATTATTATTATTGCAGATTATACCTTGTGGCCTTTTTGGGTAGACACCCACGTGGACCCCCCCTTCCACAAAAAGAGGTGAGAGGGGGGAAAAGAAGGGAGGGGGTCTATTGCCTGCAAATATTGGGGTTTTCCTCCTAATTTTTCAGGCCCCCCTCCCCTTAAAAAACGAAGAAGAGGAATTGGCTCCAGTATCTAAAACAGGTTTTTTTTCTCCATCGCAGCAACTTTGAAATGAATGGACTTCAACTCCCAGAATTCCTCAATCAGCAAGGAGAAAAAAAAAACACCACCTGAATTGAATTGAAAAGTCCAATTTGAATTGAGTTGAATTGATTTGTACACCTAGGGAATTCTGGGATTGAAGTCCATTTGTCGGTAAGGAATTCTGGGAACTGACGTCCATGCATGCTGGCTAGGGATTTGGGAGTTGAAGTCCATTTGTGCTGGCTAGAGAATTCTGGGAGTTGAAGTCCCTGATACTGGCTGGGAATTCTGGGAGATGAAGTCCATTTGTGCTGGTTAGGGAATTCTGGGAATTGAAGTCCATGCATGCTGGCTATGGAAATTCTGGGAGTTGAAGTCCCCTGATACTGGCTGTGGAATTCTGGGAGTTGAAGTCCATTTGTGCTTGATAGGGAATTCTGGGAGTTGAAGTCCATTTGTGCTGGATAGGGAATTCTGGGAGTTGAAGTCCATTTATGCTGGTTCAGGAACTCAGGGAGGGAAAGTTAACCCACGCTGGCTAGAGAATGCTGGGAGTTGAAGTCCATACATGCTGCCTGGAGAATTCTGGGAGTTGAAGTCCATTTGTGCTGGCTAGGGAATTCTGGGAGTTGAAGTCCACCCATGCTGGCTAGGGAATTCTGGGATGGAAATGACTGTCCCAATTATGGTCATAAGTCAAAGACTACCTGTAGTATTTTGGTCTTGGGTAGAAAACAAACTAAGTCCATTTTGTCTCTGAATTCTTCCCAGCGATGGCTCCGTGCGAGACCGGAACCAGCGGCCTGTTCAACTCTACCCAGAAGTCCCAGAAGTGCTGCACCGGTTGGACAGCGAAGGGATCGCCATGGCAGCTGCCTCTCGGTAAATCGGGGCCTGGCTTTCCCCGTTTATATAGGCCACACGCCTCTACACACACCCATTGCGGTGAATTAACTGAATACAGGTAGTCCCCGACTTACGACGGTTCGTTTAGTGACCGTTTGAAATTACAACGGCAGTGAAATAGGTGCCTTAGGAACCGTTTTACCACACTTATGACATTTATGGCATCACACGATCAAAATTCAGAGCTTGGCCACTGTGGTTCATACTAATGACGGTGGCAGCGTCCTAGGGAGTGACACACGATCCCCTTTTGCGGCGCGGAAGCCGGATTCACTTAACAACCGTGCCACTAACGTATCCACGGAAGTGATTCACTTAACAACAGGGGCAAGAAGGGTCGTAAAATGCGGCAAAACTCACTTAACAAATGTCTCAGTGAACAACCAAAATGTTGGGCTTAGTTGTGGTCATACGTCGAAGCTGGAATCCCAGGCTTTGGGTATTTTTCTGGCTCACAGGGAGTCCTCCACTTACGACTACTTGTTTAACGACCATTCGAAGTTAGAACCGCACTGAAAAAAACCCACTTAACAACTGGTCCTCGCGCTTAAAACCGTTGCAGCGTCCGTACAGTCATGCGATCAAAATTCGGGCGCCATCTTATCATCTCCGTTTGTGACTCTCCTGGCTGACTTCTGACAAACGTCAATGGGGGGGAAAAGCCGGATTCATTTAACGACTTCATGATTCATTTAACGGCGGTGATTTGCTTAGCAACCTTGCCCCCCACCAAAAAAATCAGGTAGCAATTCACTTAACAACCCATGTCCTTAGCAACGGAAATTCCGGTCCCGTTCACAGCCTTTAGTTGAGGGCTACCCGTATTTTAAATCCCCGAAATTACAGACCTTCGCTAGATAAATGCAGGCAGGGCAAGGTATCATAGAGCATGTGCAGAGGGCCAGTGGAGACATTTTGCAGCCTGCCAAAGAAAGACATAAAATTGCAGACGAAACAATTGGAATGCTAAAAATCTGGAAATGGGAACAGATGTTATGACTTTAACAGGCCGGGAAGACGGTAAGACACGCTCTGAGTGAAAAGTATTTATTTATTTATTACATTGATATTAATTAAAAATGGACGGTGCGGTGGCCTAGAAATGGAGCTCTCGCCTCACAATCAGGAGGCTGTGAGTTCGATCCTAGGTAGAGGCAGATATTTCTCTCTCTGGCCACGATGAGAATATATCTGCTGAACAAAACTCCGCACTGGCAACAAGAAAGGCATCCGGCCAGTAAATACTCAGCTGCATTCAGTTGCCCAGACTCCGCCCCAGAAGGAATTATGGCGTCATTAAAAGGAGAGGGATGATTGATATTAATATAAAAATGTATTTAAATACTTGGTGGCCTGTAAACTAAAGTGCTGGCCAGTAGCTACAAAAAGCAGGTGGCTGGGGAATTCTGGGAGTTGAAGTCCTTGGGTCTTAAAATGGCCGAGGTTGCGGAGTGCCTTACACCATCATTTGATAGCCCTCGCATTCGGACAATACGCCATCCTGGCTTAGCACGACCTCAGCTCGTTTTAGGAGAACAGCTTCCGGCGATCTTAGTTTGTTTGCTTTACAGACTTTACAGCTTAACGGAGTTGGAAGGGACCTTTGTAGGTCATCTAGTCCAACCTCCCACCCACGCAAGCACCATTTCTGTTACAGATCTGTCCAGTCTTCCAGGGATGAAGCTCCCACAACTTCCAAAGGCAACTTCTGTTTCATCGGTTGATGGTTCTCACTGTCAGAAAATGCCTCCTTATTTCCAGGTTGAATCTCTCCTTGTTCAGTTTCCATCCATTATTCCTTTGTCCGGCCTTCAGGTGTTTTGGAGAATAGATGGACCTCTTCTTCTTTGGGGAAGCCCCTCAAATATTGGAAGATGGCTATCCTGTCTCCCCTGGTCCTTCTCTTCACTAGACTAGCCAGGCCCAGTTCCTGCAACCGTTCGTCGTATGTTTTAGCCTCCAGTCCCCTCATCGTCCTGGTTGCTCTTCTCTGCACTCTTTCTAGAGTCTCCACATCTTTTTTTACAGTGTGGTGGCCAAAACTGGAAGCAGTACTCTAGGTGTGGTCTTACTAAGGCTTTGTAGAGTGGTATTAGTACCTCCCTTGATCTTGATTGTATCCCTCTGTTAATGCAATTTAGGATTGCGTTGGCTTTTTTGGCTGCCGCTACACACGGCTGGCTCATATTTAACTGGTTGTCCACTAAGACTCCAAGATCTCTCTCACAGCGACCGCTATTAATCCTGGTTTCACCCAGTTTGTATGTGCACTTTTGGTTTTTCTTGCCTAAGTGTAAGTGCTGAGGGCACGGCCCTGTGCCTGGTGAGGATTCAAAAATCTGGGATTTCGTACTATCTGGAACGAGCTCCCCCCGGAGATGCGGAGGATCCCGGATCTGCGCACCTTCCGCCACGCTCTAAAGATCTTTTTATTTCACCAGGCCTAACTTTCTCCCTCTTTTTAAACAAATTTTGAATATTTTTTAGTATTTTTAATATTCGAAGTTTAAATTTGTTTTAAATTGATTGGGGTTTTAATCTGTCTGGGCCAAACTATTTCATTCAATTTTATTTCTGCTTTTTAAATTTTGTATGTATGTATTTTATTGTTGGCTGTTCACCGCCCTGAGTCCTTCGGGAGTAGGGCGGTATATAAATCAAATAAAAGTAAAGTAAGTAAAAGTAAAAAAACGGGTTCCCTTTAGCATCCCTGGCCTGCTCTTGAGTTGCCATAAGGAAGGGGGATAGGAAACCGACGAAAAAGCACAGCAGATGCACAAGACAGATGCACATTCCAGACTTATCTCTCTCAAGGTTGTCTCTCAGGGTTACCCACAGCGGACGGAGGGGAGTGATCTCTACAACATCGGAACCCTGACAGAAAGCCAGCCCTGACATTAAGCATGTTGTACAAACATACCCTATTCGGGGTAGAAATTGGTCCCTATTGCGGGATCTCAACTGTCTGATCTTTTCCCTCTCAGGACAGGCGAGATCCAAGGAGCCAGACAACTTTTAGATCTTTTCGGCTTAAATCGCTATTTTCGCTACACTGAAATCTACCCTGGGAGTAAAATCACCCATTTTCAAAGGTAAAAAAAAATCTTTGGGGGGGTCTTTGTTTAACAATCCCATAATCTCTTGCAGGGTGGAGTCTGGGCAACTGAATGGAGCTAGCAGAGTGTTTTTTAATGGCCGGATGCCCTTCTTGTTGCCAGTACGGAGTTTTGTTCGGCAGATACATTCTCATTGTGGGGACAAGACAAAATGTTGGTTATCCCGGCATGGCATGGCTACCTTATTTGTGGCACCATCGATCTCCGTGAATTTCTGGCCTTCCACCAGATCCCGATGAGATGGTCAAAGCTCAAAATCCCTTGGGGATCATCTTGAAGGATCAAGGAAGCGTGCCGTGTCTCCAGCAGGGCCTGCCCTATGAAATAGTCCTCGCCCTTACAACCGTTTGTAAACGTTGCTGGCTGGGGAATTCTGGGAGTTGAAATCCACCCATCTTAAAGTTGCCAATCTGGTGAAACACCTCTCCAAAGAACTGGAAATCTTAGCTGGAGGGTGGGATAGCGGTTGAGGGCCTTTTATGGACTAGGCAACTGTTTAACCAGGTTTGTGTAAGGTCTCCTGCCTTGAGCGGGGAGGGTTAGACTAGAAGACCTCAGAAGTCCCTTCCACACCTATGATTCTCCGTTCTATGTTCTCCTTGTCTCCTCTCCAGGTTGAATCAACAGAGTGGCATCCCGTTTCATCAGATGCTCTTCTTTGATGACGAAAGCAGGAATATTCGTGACGTCGGCACGCTAGGTATCCTTAAAAGAGGGTGCATGACGGGATTCTAGAACCTTCCACTCTTGGAGCAACCCCCGAGTTTAATTATTCTAGATCTGGGTGTGAAAGAGGGTAATTAAAATTTAGAGTCGACTGTCCCTGTTCACACAACACACTGAATCAAGCTGGTCTTCTTTAGCCTAGTAAACTAATCCCTGTAATTGGCTAAATTAGGCTGGTGAGTTCTAGTTCCATCTTACGCATGAAAGGTGGCTGGGTGACTTTGGGCCAATCACCAGGAGACCGTGAGTCCTAGTCTCCCCTTAGGCATGAAAGCCAGCTGGGTGACTTTGAGCCAATCACCAGGAGACAGTGAATTCTAGTCCCACCTTAAGCATGACTGGGTGACTTTGGGCCAATCACCAGGAATTGGTGAATTGTGAATTCTAGTCCCGTCTTATGCATGAAAGGCAACTAGGTGATTTTGGGCCAATCACCAGGAGACTGAGAGTTCTAGTCCCGCCTTAAGCGTGAGAGCCAGCCGGGTGACTTTTGGCCAATCACTAGGAGACGGTGAATTCTAGTTCCACCTTAAGCATGAAAGGTGACTGGATGATTTTGGACCGATCACCAGTCCACAGTGAATTCTAGTCCCACCTTAGGCATGAAAGCCAGCTGGTGGCCCAATCACCAGGAGAATGGGAGTTCTAGTCCCGCCTTAAGTATGAAAGCCAGCCAGGTGACTTTCAGCCAATCACCAGGAGATGGTGAATTCTAGTCCCGCCTTAGGCATGGCGGGAATGGGTGACTTTGGGCCAGTCCCTCCTCACAGGGTTGTTGTTGTAGGGATAATAGGAGGAAGCAATATCAGGCATGTTTGCCACCTTGAATTACTTATAGAATAATAAAAGTGGGATCAAAATCCAATAAATAAATATAAATATTGTGATACCCAAAGGGAAGGGTAGTGTCTGAGCTGATGTAGTGGAACTATTGTTTTTGGAATCTAAGATCTCCAACTAAGACGAGTCCTCACCCTTACGTCCCTTCCTTTATCAACTCTTCAAAGATACAACGGTCTTGAAATAAGCTAACTTAACGACCGGTTCCTCATACTTACAACTGTCTCAACGCCCTCGCGGCAGGGGTGGGTTCTAAAATTGTTTACTACCGGTTCTGTGGGTGTGGCTTATTTTGTGGGCGTGGCTTGGTGGGGGTGATAATGTGACTGGGTGGGCTTGGCCAACGTTTTTTTTTTTTTTTTTTACTTTTAAAAGCCTTTTTTCTACAACCTTAAGAAGTTGCAGAAAAAAATGCTTTGAAAAGCCTCTGCCGATCAGGCAACTCAGCTGGGATCGTCAGAGGCTTTTCCAAAGCATTTTTTTTATCACCTCTTCGGCTGAAGAGGTTGTAGAAAAAATGCTTTGAAAAGCCTCTGATGTTCCCAGCTGAGTCGCAGGATCATCAGAGGCTTTTTTTTTTTTTTTTACTTTTAAAAGCATTTTTTCGGCTAAATAGGTTGTAGAAAAAAATGCTTTGAAAAGCCTCTGATGTTCCTAGCTGAGTCGCAGGATCATCAGAGGCTTTTTTTTTTTACTTTTAAAAGCATTTTTTCGGCCGAAGAGGTTGTAGAAAAAATGCTTTAAAAAAAAAAAAGCCTCTGATGAGGTGGGCGGGGTAAGCGAGTGGCGACCGGGCCAGGGACCGGTTCAGGGGCGTTCCAGCCAATGTTATTACTGGTTCTCAGAACTACTACAAATTTTTACTATCGGTTCTTGCTCCGAACCGGGAGCAACCCACCACTGCCTCGCGGCCACAGAAATGGTGATCGAAAACACTCGGTGAACATCATACGTGATGTTCGCCATGTCCCACACAATCAATCGCCATTTGCCAGCCGGTTTCCAACAAACCAAGTACACTGGGGAAGCCAGAGGAAAATCGCAAGTCGAGCTCTCGCAAGTGGCCTCAGTGCCTGAGGAGGTTAAAAGAAAAACTAAATTGACGGACAGTGTTAACTTTTTCCTGTTGTTTTCTTTCAGGAGTTGTGTGTGTCTCTGTTCCAAGAGGCATGACCCTTTCTCTCCTCAAAGACGGCTTAGAGAGTTTCGCACGCAGTTCCAGCTCTCATCCTGCCGACAAAGTTTAAACCTCAAACTTCCTGGATCTCCGTCTTCTGTTTCTCTCATGGAAAGCATCGGTCGGGGATTATGGACATTATTTATGCGTGAGGCGGAAAGAGCTCCAGTTTAATCCTTAAAAGATTTTTTCCGTCCCGCGGTTACAATAGACCGAGGTTCTGCCAACGTCGTCGTCCCTTTAAGACTTGCGGACTTCGACTCCCAGAATTCCCCAGCCAGCATGGAATTCTGGGAGTTGAAGTCCACAAGTCTTAAAGGGGCCACGTTGGCAGAACCCTCGCATTAAACCAGCGAAGCGAAGTCGTGTTTGTGACTTTCTTTCATCCCAATAAAAACTGGGGAAAAAAATATAAATCGATCTTTCCGTTTATCCATTAGCGCAGGGACTGCGGACAGCTAATCAGGTTTAAAGGATGATTTTGATTGGCAGAAAAGTCACCCGGGATCACGTTCCTGACCTCCGGAAGATAATAAAAACAGCTAAAGGGTTCCAAAAAGATTTTTATTTTATTTTTTATCTTTACCGTTTCTACTAATACTCTTGGTTTAACTTTAGCGTAAAACATTTGTTTCTCACTCAACTTTGGTAGCTTGAAGATTCCCAGAATTCCCCAGCCAGCGATAGACCTCGATTTATAATTATTCGTTCAGTGACCGTTCCAAGTTACGACGACACTGAAAAATGTGACGTTTGATCGCTTTTTACACCGATGAACTGTTCCAGCAGCCCCAAATCACGTGATCAAAATTGGGACAAGGCATAGAATCAAAATCCCGTGAAGGATTACTACTGCTTTACAAAGCCTTAGTAAGGCCACACCTAGAATCCAGCATCCAGTTCTAGTCCCCACATTACAAAAAAACAGATGTTGAGACTTTGGAAAAAGTGCAGAGAAGAGCAACTAAGGTGATTAAAGGCCTGGAGATTTAAAACATATGAAGAATGGTTGCAGGATTTGGGTTTGGCTAGTCTAAAGAAAAGAATTCGGGGGGACATGATAGCAGTATTTCAATATTTGAGGGGCTGCCCCAAAGAAGAGGGGAATCAATTTATTCTCCAGAGCACCTGAGGGCAGGACAAGAAGCAACAGACAGAAACTGATCAAGGAGAGAAGCAACTTAGAACTATGGAGAAATTTCCTAACCGTGAGGATAATTAACCAGCGGAACAGCTTGCCACCAGAAGTTGTAGGTGCTTCCTCACTGGAGGTTTTTAAGAAAAGCCTGGACTGCCACTTGTCTGAAATGGTCCAGGCTCTCCTGTTTGAGCACAAGAGGTTAGTCTATAAAACCTCCAAGGTTCCTTCCCAGCTCTATTCTAATTGATATTCTGGCTAAAATCAATCCATAGGTTTTGCAAAGGCCTTCCAGCCGAAAAAGCCAAACTTTACGACCAAAATCGAGCCCCAAAATGTCTGTTGCTAAACGAGACCTTTCAGTGACTTTGTCCCGTTTAATGACCGTTCTTGCCACCGTCGTTAAATGAATCATTGCACTTGTTCAGTGAGTAGCCCGGTTGTTAAGCGAATCCGGCTTTCCCCCCTTGACTTTGCTTATCGGAAAGGTCGCCGAAGGGGATCCACAATGACCCTCCCGGACACTGCGACCGTCATAAATACGAGTCGGTTGTCAAAAGCGTCTGAATTTCCTGAATTCACGTGACCGCGGGGGTGCTGCGACGGTTGTGTGAAAAACAGTCATAAATAAATCACTTTTTTTTTCCCCCTGCTGCCGTTAGGACCTCAAAATGGTCACTAAACGAATGGTTGTAAGTCGAGGACAACCTGTGCAGGATCTGGGAAAGAAATGGTTAACAAAATGGCTGGAAAGGGACCTTGGAGATCATCTAGTCCAACCCCCCCCAACCCACTTCAGACAAATGAATTTGAGTGGATTAAAGGGTGCAGCCCCTTTAAAGGCCTGGAAAAGATTTTTTGGGGGTTACTGTTCCTTTAAGAGACAGAAGGGTGGGACAATGACGTCACAAAGCACATGATTTATCGGCTCCCCCAAATCCTTTTCTCTCCCCTCCCACAATGCTTTCATCACATGTCTCTAGAGGAAAAAGCCGAGTGTCATTTTACCCCTTATTTCCGGTTCTCATTTAGTTAGTACTAGCGGGATATTTTAGGACCCAATGGAAGTATTTCAAGACTCCCCAACCAATTAATTGGCTTTTAATGTATTCATTCCTTTACTTAAATATTTAAAGGTGGCCATTTCAATGCCAATTGATGCCGTTTTCCATTACAGCTGCTTTCTTCTCTTTGCGTAGTAGCCCTCTCTTTTTCCACTCTTGCTTCGCTCGGGAGCCGGTCGTTTACGAGCGCATAACGCAAACCCTTGCCTCCCTTTAGTTTGTTTCCACCCTCGTGGCACGTGACGGGGGCGGGGCGAGGCTGGTAGGTGGGTGAAGCCGGAAGAGGAAACCCAGTGAATTTCCCACCAGGCGAGATGAGTGGTTTGGGGAAGCTGTTTGGGAAAGGTGAGAGTCCTATTCCAGTTTTTTCCCCCCCTCGACAGAGAGTTGGTATCGCCCGAAGCCCATAGGGGATCCCGAGATTTGGGAGCAACCAAGTGGCGCGAGGGGGGGGAGGGGAGAAAGAAAGAGAAAGGGAGGGGAGGAAAGAAAGAATGAATAGATGAAAAGAGAGAAAAATAGGGGAGTTTACTATTTCCCCCCCCCCTAAAAATGGGGCCTTATTTACAAGAAGTGTGGCTGGGTGGTTTTAATTGCTGCTGCTCCCCAGGGTGCATTGCCCCCTCCCCATTTATAGGAAAGGACCTGCTCATTATTTTGGGAGGGGTGTGTGAAGATGGATGGATGGGGAAGATTTGCATGGGAGATGTTGAGAGCCCCCTTTTACAAATTCTGCTTTTTTCTTGTTTTTATATACCGTTGTTTTTTTTTTTTAAAAAAAAAAGCTGGAGTGAATTAATTTTATGGGAAGCTTAAGGTTAACGATGCATGCAACGCCCCCCCCCCCCCCCCCAAAAAATGGTGTATTCCACTAATGCATTGGGTTGGGGCTTGCAACAGAACCATAGAAGGCCCAACCCATTGAGGATAATGGGATCCCCAATCTGATGGGAATAATGGGATGTCCAACTCAATGGGGATGATGGGACCCACAACTCAATGGGGATGATGGGATCCCCATTCAGTGGAGGTTGATGGGAATCCCCACTCAATGGGGATGATGGGACCCCCAACTCAATGAGGTTGATGGGACCCACAACTCAATGAGGTTGATGGAACCCACAACTCAATGGGGTTGATGGGACCCACAACTCAATGGGGATGTGGGACCCACAACTCAATGGGGTTGATGGGACCCACAACTCAATGGGGATGATGGGACCCACAACTCAATGGGGTTGATGGGACCCACAACTCAATGGGGTTGATGGGGACCCACAACTCAATGGGGATGATGGGACCCACAACTCAATGGGGATGACAGGGCCGCTCAAATTCTATGGGGATGACAGGGCCCCCCAAATTCAATGGGGATGATGGGGGCCCCAACTCAATGAGGACGATGGGACCCCCAAGTCAACAGGGAGGATGACAGGATTACCATATTTGAACCAAACAACTTCGCAGTCATCATCTTGAGATAGATAGATAGATAGATAGATAGATAGATAGATAGATAGATAGATAGATAGAAAGAGAAGGAAGGGAGGGAGAGAGAGAGAGAGAGAAAGAAAAAAGAAAAGAAAGAAAGAAAAAGAAAGAAAAAGAAAGAAAGAAAGAAAGAAAGAAAGAAAGAAAGAATTAATTCTTTATTGGCCAAGTGTGATTGGGCACACAAGGAATTTGTCTTTGGTGCATATGCTCTCAGTGTACATAAAAAGAAAAGAGACATTCGTTAAGTATCATAAGGTACAACACTTAATGATAGTCATAGGGTACAAATAAGCAATCCGGAAACAATATCAATATAAATCGTAAGGATACAGCAACAAGTTACAGTCATACAGTCATAAATGGGAGGAGATGGGTGATAGGAACGATGAGAAGATTAATAGTAGTGCAGACTTAGTGAATAGTTTGTCAGTGTTGAGGGAATTATTTGGTTAGCAGAGTGATGGCGTTCGGGGGGAAAAAACTGTCCTTGTGCCTAGCTAGTTGTTCTGGTGTGCAGTGCCCTATAGCGTCGTTTTGAGGGTTGGAGTTGAAACAGTTTATGTCCAGGATGTGACGGGTCTGTAGATATCTTCCCAGCCTTCTTTTTGACTCGTACAGGATACAGGTCCTCAATGGAAGGCAGGTTGGTAGCAATATTTTTTTTTTGTTCTCTATGTTCTTTTGTACTAAGTAGAGTTTCCTGTTACACTTGAGCAGTTAAGCAGTAAAGCACATGGTGACTGTACCCTTTATTTGTGGTGCTATATAGCTTTATTTGTGGTGCAGTATATAGGTCCTCAATGGAAGGCAGGTTGGTAGCCATTGTTTTTTCTGCAGTTCTAATGATCCTCTGAAGTCTGCGTCTGTCTTGTTGGGTTGCAGAACCAAACCAGACAGTTAGTAGAGATGGTTCTCCGCTGGTCAAATTTCTTTGATGTGACACCCGCCCTTCCTCCCTTCTCCTGTTCTCCAGGCAAGAAGGCTAAGGCCCCCACCCCGCAGGAGGCCATCCAGAAACTACACGAGACGGAAACCATCTTGGTCAAGAAGCAAGAATTCCTGGAGGAGAAGATCCAGCAGGAGCTGCAGTCGGCTAAGAAACATGGCACGAAGAACAAAAGAGGTAGGAGGGTTCGAGGAGCCGGGAAAAATATAAAATAAATAGGAAAGGCGTTCTCCCCAAATAGGTAGTCCTCAACTTACGACCCACAGTCGCGCCCCAAATATATGTTGTTAAAGGAGAAATTTTGTCGAGCGAGTTTGGCCCCATTTTCTTGCCACCGTTGTTAACGGAATTCCCTGCGGTTGTTAAATTAGTAACCCCGTTCTTAAGTGAATCTGGTTTCTCCAGGACGCAAAAAAAAGAGATCGTGTGACTCCGGGATTCTGCAACCGTCATAAGTGTCAGTCAATTGTCCAACGTCCAAATGTAAATCACATGGGGTTAATGCTGCAACGGGTCATCATTAATTTTATTGACGGATATTTAGAAAAATTGATATTGCGGCCACATTCGCAAGTGGCGACTCAAGGCGGCTTACAAAAAGATAAAAACCACCCTATAAAAGAAATAAAAAATAATAAAGTAATAATAAAATAATAACCGTCCACCCCGCCCCTTCCATCCTGGCGACATACTACACAGTCGTAACTGTGAACAGTGGTCCTAAGTCACTTTTTTTCCAGTGCCGTCGTAACTTTGAACAGTCGCTAAACAAAC